CTTTACCGATATAGTTCTTTTGTTTTAATTTCTTTCCAGCCCCAGCCCTAACCTAGATAACTTAAACCTAACTCAAATAAACTTATGTTTCGTAGTCTGTTTGATAAATTTAAATGTATTATTGAAAAACGTGACAAATTGTCACAAAAATTATTGGAAATTCCTGTTTACAGGGTGTTTCACCATACTTTGTTTGTAGAAACAAGTTATATCTTTGCAACTACATGTGCTATTAAATTTTGGTACACTGGTAGTAGAGACGTAGTAATCTTTACTATAAAATTTTTACAGTAATTACCATTCCCACGTAAGAAACCAGCTTTTGCGTAAAATACCTAGACATTAAGTTATTGTTTACATACCTACATACCACGTTGTATCTATACCAATGTGAAAATACGACTGCTGAATACAAATGACAGATTGAAAACCCACATAAGAAAAAACAAGCTTTTTTCAAATATATGTGGGAGTTTGAAGGTAATGTTGTGGAAAACACGTACATAAACGTGTCTTCGATGAAGTATATCTGGAAATGGCAAGAATATTGTTTTGCTGTCTATTAAAAATGAGGTTGGGCCATATAGCCTATTAAAGTAAAAAAAATATCTGAAGAGTTGGAAAAAGTTTTCTCACTTACCGGTCGCCCATACAACGAAAAAATGGAAACCATAAAATCAGCAACACAATTATAATACAGTACCGGCTTATAAACCGCCATGTCTGGATCAGTTTGATGCAGCACCAAGTAGCAGAAGACAAAGTTGCCAATAATTGAGAGACCACAACTCACCACGTCAATACGGAACAACATTTTAATGCATTTAACGTACACTTCCACCTGGTTTTTCATAAGGCAACATAAGTGGCGCGAGGTCAAAACAAGCGGCGCTGGAAGAGTTACAGTATACTACTGAAAAATTTACAGTTTACTACTGAAACAAGTATAGTATATTTAGTATACGCGACAGCTTGGCAAATCGCCACGAACAAGATATGATGAGAATTCCCGTAATTATGCAAATATCTCTGAGCTTTTGATTGAACCTTGTTTGTTTGATTTGACGATGTAAAAGTCGGGGGCTTCCGAAATAAATTCATTCTACCCAGTTTGGTTTGTTGCGAGTTGTAGACCTCGGCACTACACTAACAATAAGCGTGAACAACATCAAAATGAGCTTCAGAGAGATCGAATCGTTTTTCAACGTGCAAGACAAAGTAAACTGGCTAGCAACACGACTTTTTGACACTGCACTACTTTTTAACCGTGAGAGAGTAATGAGTCCTCCCGTGAAAGTCGTATCAGTTTATATTCGTCACAGTAACCCTTGCCGTAATTGAAACCCCAACTTCTTATATGAATGTGACAGTAAGAACCGCTAAGTATGACAATAAGAATGCATAAGGAAAATAATAAAAACTTCCTCAATGTCACAGTAAAAATTAATGTAAAAAAGCCAGAAAAAATAAAAATTTAATGCGTAAACAGCTGAGAATCAAGACCTTATTTCTCAGTGTTGAAAAAGTTATTTCGTGTTTGCACGTAAGAAGGTAATGACAACTTAATTCATTCATCATTATGAGTACTATAAGGCAATTGAAACTTTTGTTTTTAAGGTTAAAAATGACAGAAGGATTACTGTAAAAGTTAAAACATAGAACAAACAGTTGACGTTTTTTAAATTTTAAAATTTTAAACAAGAAGAAAGAGAAAGAAAACCTATATACAGTGGAACTCCTGTATAACTAACTCCTCTATAACAAAAATCCCGTATAACAAACAACTTTTGAATTCTCGTCTACCGCTACACGGTCATTTAAAACTCGTGTATAACAAAACTCCTTTATAATGAACGACTTCCAAGTCCTCGAGCGATTCGTTATACAAGAGTCCTACTGTACTTGAGACTATTGTTAGTTTAGTCACACACAAGCGCTGTAAATTAATCAGCAATAGCTAAACAAACTAAAAAAATAAACATGTTATAGTAGCCTGGACAATAAATCACATCAGAAACCGTATAAATTTCAAAGCTAAACCTGGTAAAGCATGAAACTTTCTCACATAAAAAGAAAGGACATCTAAAATTTGTAAATGTCCTTTCATAAATTTACTTATAACAATAAATCTATGTTGCAAAACAACCTAATTACCTATAATTTACGTGTAAGCTGACTACATCCCTAATTAGAAGCAACCTCACATAAAAATATACAATGTTTTTGTTTGTAGGCGTTTTACAGGTAAAAACTTAAAAATTTGTCATTCAAGGGCTACTTCGGTCCTCGAAACTGTTTTTCTTAACACTGCCCTAGCGCAAAGCCCTTGCCCAAAGCCCTAGTTCAGAGCCTTAGCCCAGAGCCCTAGCCCAGAGCCCCAGCCTAGAGCCCTAGTTCAGAGCCCTAGCCCAGAGCCCTAGCCTAGAGCTTTAACCAAAACCCACGCCGAGCTTGTCTCAAATTAAAAAAAAAATTTACAAGTGCATTATACACAAGCATGCCAACCCCCCCCCCAATTACATCAAATTAAAGCATGTCGCCAAACGTCGTCAAGATCGCAAAACAAAAACCTTTCGTAATTTCCTAATTCAATGAAACTTTTTATTGTTTTCGCCGGATACTTACTAATGTGACTTTTGAGTACTGTACTTTTGTCGCAATACGTTCGTTCCTTATTAGATTATTAATGAGAGACACACTTTGTACTAAATCTAAAAAATGTAACTTTTTTATAATTAAATTAATAAGTGTTTGAAAGGCACGGCAATGTGTTAAGGTTATTAAGGTTTAAAGGTGGCAAAGATGTACAAATATAAAGTACTAGCATCAAAAAAATTTCAATTTGGCTTTGGTTTGGCTTTTTTTATAATACACTTTTCGCAATTCAGATCTTTCGTTGCGAGACCTAAGCTGAGGTTTGGTGGTTTTGGTTTAAGCTCAGGCCTTGAGCCTACATGTTTCGGCTTGGCCTAGCTCCTTTCAAATTTTCTTTCTGTTCAGCCAAGCCCAGCTCATTTCCTTTTTCTCTCCCTCCCCCCTCCCCTCTTCCAAGTTTTTTATTGTTAAAGTTGGCTCGTTCCTTTTCATTTTTTTCAAAATTTGTCGTAAATTTTTGTACCTCTACTTCTCCCCCCCCCCACATTACGTTTTTTATAGTTAAGGTAGGCCCCCTTCTTTTTCACTTTTTTTCAAAATTTGTCAAAATTTTTTGTACCCGTACTTCTCCCTCCCCCTCCCATTTTGTCCCTTGCTATGAAAAACCCTAAAAATAATGCCAATTAAAAACAATCCTGCAAATCTATGCATATAGAATTAACCAACCTTGCCTAACGACATAAAAACTGAGGTTTGTATATACCACTACAATGTTAATTGTCTTCTTTCTCGGCAAATATAATACAATAACTAAATTTCCGCCTACTTTACCTTGGCTACGAACTTTTAATAAATACAATAAAAATAACAAGTTTAATACTAAATAGCACTTGAACACACCAAAAATTATTGAATTGCTGTCTAGGTTACAGTAAACAAGGATTAGTGCTGTTAATTATTTATATATGTATATATAAAAATAAATAGTCTAACAGTGTAAAGACAGGTTAATAGGATAGGGTAAGGTATGGTAGGTTAGGATAAAGTAGGGTGTGGTAAGGTAAAGCAAGGTAAAATACAGTACGGTAGAGTAAAGTAGGGTAAAGTATGATACAGTAGAGTAAAGTAAGGTAAGGTAAAGTAAGATTAAAAATGAATTGTAACCAACTAAAATTGCATTTGTCATCATTTCTTCTTTTACACTGTAAGTTTTTGTAACTGTAACGTTTAATTGTAGCACCCTCACTACATTACTGTCTAAACTTTGTAGTTTTTTCAAGATGAATTTCAATAACAATCTCTTAACAATTAAACCTAAGAAAAGTGGCGTACAAAATGCATCACAAGTTGGCTGAAAGTGGTGTCATGTGCAAAACATTGTTTTTGTAATGAACATTTGTCTAGAGTTCATTGTAAAAATACGTCCTTTAACGTTTGGTTAACCTATCGAAATATGTTTGTCTCACCCTATCGACGAAATATGCCTCAACCTAGCATTGACAGAAATGACGTTATGCCAAGAGACTAGTGTTGCTTAATCAAGAAAAGAAATAAAAAATTGCAAAATTGGCTTCTCCTTTGGCGCCCTACAACTACAAAACCACACGGAAGGCAACGAACGTGTTGAACTGACGCTATCACAAAAATTGCAAGCAGAGTTCTTCACAGACCGGACCAAATGCAAGAGCCCCGAATTTGAATTTTTTTCTGCGCTTTTTTTTACCGGTCGGATCAGTAAAAGAAGTTTTTTCTACTTCTCTACAGTGAAACTCGTGTATAACGAACTTCCCTATAACGAAAACCCTGTATAACGCCCCGAGCGACTGTTATACAGAAGTTAATTAAACTGTATTTGGAATGGTGCTGAACTTTCTAGATGTCGTTAGTGTTTTGATATTTATAGTAGTTTTTGAGATATGAGATTGGCGGGAAAAAAATTCAAAAATTCAGACCGGACCCAAAAGGGAAAACTCTGTGTGCAGGCTCTAATTGGACTAAAACCAACTTTGCTGACGTTTTCACCGAGATTTTTTAAAACTTTCTTTGGCTCCAGAAGTTTTGAATTCTACGCTACTGGTATTAAAATTTTAAAAGAATGTTGGACAGATTGTATTAGTTGCCGGCATAAAGAACCCGCCATACTTTTTTTGTAATTTTCTGTAAAAAATGTCAGGTTCTTTATATTGGCACTTAATGTTAATATTGATGGTAATATTCTTTCTTTTCAGTTTATGTTTTGGCATTTACTTCCTCTCCTCATTTCTATAATATTTATTTTTCGAAAAATAACAAAAAAGTGCTTGAATCAACAAGATTTGTTTATAAACTGGTGATTGATCGAACAATACCATATAAAACGATCAAAGTTTGGCCGTAAATTATTATTTATCACTCATTTATCAAAAATGAAGTTACTGATTGTTGTTGCTCTAATTTTGTCTATTTTGGGTTTTAGTCTAGCCTTTTCTGTTGGCCTAAACGGAACTTTGTACTGCGATGGTGGTAATCTTCATGGTCATACTAAAGTGGTAAGATTTTCAAATTTGTAGGGTTGGGTTAGTAGGGTTGGCTAGTAGAGTAGGATAGTAGAGTAGGCAAGTAGGGTAGGGTAAGATGGTTTTGATTTTTTTTTGTAATTTGAAGTTTTGTTTTAGAAAGTAGAGCTATACAACAGTGCCAAGATGGATTTGGTCAAGTCAGTAGAAGCTCAACCGGATGGAAGTTTTAACCTTGTTGCCGATCAATCTGATGATGCTTTCGAACCCCTTTATATTTTGTAAGTTAAATTTGTCTAGCTCTAGCCTAACCTCTCTTTCTATTCTTTTTTTAGAACTGACATTGTTAAAATTAGGTTTTACTGTAAGTTTCTCAAAAAATGTTTTGTTACAGCAAGCACAAATGCGGCCGTCTGTGTCGCCACATCTACTTCAACAACACTTACATTTTGTCACCAGTTCGAATTGAGCTGTTTAATGCTGGCATTAAACAAGACTACAAACATGGTGAATGTCCTCATGAAGAATATGAAGCTTAATGATTCTTCGTTTTTTGTAAAATAAATTTTGTATTTTTAATATTTTCTTATAAGTTAGAGGTACTAACTCAGACAGCTACTTAGCAGGCCGGGCCAAGCCAAAAAAAAATTGAAAAAAGCCGGGTCGGATCGTCCGAACCCGAGCACCAGGCCTAAATAAAGGGCCCAAGAGCCCAGCTTGAATACCACACAAAACTTAAAAAACTATTGGTTATCTGGGGGTCCCAAATTGTCGTAGTTATTATTTAAGTGAGTTCATATAAGTAGCCGGGCTGGGTTCAAGAAAAGATGAAAGCGGCTAGGCCGGTGTACGTGAACCGAAGGGACGAGACCCGAACATAAAAATTAAGCCGGTCCCTCTACAGGTCTGGTCAAAAACAGCTAAATCCCAGTAGTTCGAAGTCAGATACGACAATGTTTGCACAGTAAAGCGCAGTTGATTCTTTCTCCGAATAAAAAAAAATCGGTAAAAACAGGTCAGTATACCAAGTTTGGTCATGATTCCAAGACCTTTCGTTTTAATTTTCTTATTTTGTTCTTGTGTAAATAATGTTTTTGCTAATTGTAACTTAAAAGAATGCCGATGTGAAGAGCCCGACAATCGACTGGTCTATTGTGCTGCTGACTTTGGTAAGAGTCATTTATTTCAAAACTGTTGAAACAATTTTAAACTTATACAAAAAGTCATTTTCAGTCACAAAAACCAAAGTTATATCTCAAAAATACGAAGAAAACGTGGTAACATACGAAGTAAAGCATCAGAAAGTATTCAAGGGGATTCAACCTGTCAGTAAATACGTTACTTCATCTTTAAACGCCACCAAATGCGGTGTAAAACTAGAAAAGAATCGAACATACTTGATGGCAGGCAGAATCGACCAAAATGGTGCCAAAATCAACCAATGCCTGAACTTCATCCAATCCCACTTTGATAGAACCCAGCCTAACCGACCATTGCTTTGGAACAAAGTACCGACTAGCTTGAAGAATGTTTTGGAAGATACTAGTTTTGATTTCTTCAAATGTCAAGATTTGATTCCTGCTGGACTACCACGAGACCCGCTTGATCAGAAAATTGAAAATTCACTTCAAATTTTTTGTTAGAAAAAGTGTTTTAGGACAAATTTAATACAAACAGAAAGTTTAACATAATTTTATTGTTAACATCGTAAACTACAAAAAGTAATAAATGACTTACTATTATAGAAGTTTTTAGTGAAAACCTTTAGCGATGTTCTTGGCAGAGCATTGTTAAGCTGGTTTAACAGTTTTTCTGCATTCGAAATTTGTTTCTTTATATGTTAATCAAGAGGAACATATATTTTAGTTTGATGAAAGGTTTGACAAAAAATACTTTGGCCAATTAAGAGGTCTCTCAAAACAGGTATCCAAGTGTTATTGATTTCTTCCGGCTAATTGAGGCCTTTAAACGGTCTGTCAATCGATATCAAAGGTTTACGAATTCAGCTACTACTTAAAGCTTATTTAACGGTCTGTCTAAAGCCATATCCAAGTCTTACAACTTAATCCGAACGAACCACCATGTTTAAATCTTATTTGTTCTATGTCGTGCACCTTCCTGAAAAATAAATATATTAATGATTAACCAACTAGTATTTATTCAAAATACCAAATCTAAATTTATCTTCTAACACAAACACTATTTTTTCAAATTTGTTTGTACAAACAAAAAAACAGACTATCAAAAAGGCGACAAAAAAAGAAAGAACGTTCTTTCAATAATCTAAGTAAAACAATGGATTTGAATAAAATTAGAATCTTTTTACCATTTACAAAAAATTAATATTTGTATAAAATTCTGTTTGCATTAACGATTTTTAAAATATTTGCGTAAATTCAGTGGTTTTTTGTTCAAAAATGATAGGAAACAATCGAATTTATTATCACGTGGCTTTCAAAATCCACGTCAAATATTTGCGGATTATGCAAATACAGACTATACTATAAAACCTAGAGGGTGGGGTTTGGGTTTCTGGAATCTGGCGTTTGAAGGTGTAACATTGTTTAACATTGACTTTTAATAAATTTACTTTTTGACTGATTTCACGACTGTATACCTAATTCTACTAGAACTTATAATCATACCCTAGAAATTAAATTTTGCCATACTCTAATATTCAAAACCACTTGACTTTAAAACCAACGCTAGAAACTATAGCAATGAATTACCTTCAAGTTTTAACTATTGTTTCCCTGTCAACCGCCATCTATGCTAGTGAATGCTACCATGCATTCGCTGAAAGATCAAACCAAGAAGTCTGCAAAACTTCAGACGATTGTAGCGACTCATCTTCCGACTGTATTTTCAGTGTGTCCACTGGAAAACACATTTGTTGCGGAGTTAAAGAAGGCGCTACATTACCTTGTATGTCCATAGCTTTATTTTAGTGTTAATTAGCGTTGCAACAAACATATTTATTATAGTCTCATGCTCCAGAAAATAAGCTTTATCCTTGTTCTAAAAAAATATTTTATTTTCAGCATGTCCATCAGGTAAACAATTATTCCAAAATGGTCGAGGTCCAGCATCGACTATAATCTGTGCGGCCCCTGATGAAGAAGATCGTTGTCCAGACGGGTTTGCTTGCGCTGAAAGTACCACTGACTTTGAGAAAATCAACGGACAATCAAACTATGTTTGTTGTTCTGAATGACGTACTAAAAACTACTTTATTTACATACAATTACTGTATTTTAAAGCTTTCATATTGTCTTTCTGGACTTTTTATTCCTCAGACAGTCTTTCACATTACACACAATGTACATACCACTTTACATAACGCTTTGCAATAATGATTATTTATTAATAAAGTTTTAACAGTAATAACATAGTGAAGACGGATTGATTTTTCAGTATTCATTAGGTTGTAAAAATAATTCTGGGCTCATCAAAACGAGTTTTCTTCGTACATTGGCTTAGCATCGTTTTCCGGCCCATCATACACGTGGTCACTTTTGTAATTCATTTTGATGTCTGTTGTTTTCGAAAATCCATAGCTTGTCGGATCAACACGACTACGTTTAGCTTCGTTACATGTAAATGACGTACTGTCAAGTTCAAACATTTTAGACTGCAGTGTGTTTGGAGACACAGGGCTTTGGGGTTTGGTCGGGGATTTTTCTTTTGTCTAAAACATACTACTTGAAGTATGTTACAATTTACGACATCAAATTGTCAACTAATCTAATCTATACCTCATGAATTCTAATTGTAGACGGTTGAAGAACTTAAAGTAAAGATAAATAACGTATTACAGTATAATTTCGATATAACAAATCGCTAGGAGAAACCGCTAAAAGCTACGGCTAAAAAAACCTACCCTATGCTCATAGCTGTGCCGCCGAGCAACATCTTGTGCAACATGAGGCGTAAGAGTATCTTTCTTAACAGCTGCTTTACAACACTGCTTCAAGTGACGAATGTCATCGTCGCCCACCAGGTTTTCTTGACTTTGGTTCATATTACTGTGAAAGTTGAGTTCGCAAGAACAGCTTTTGCTTCGAAAGCGGCAACGATCCACAAATTCGGTCAGTTTTTTCATGATGGCTGGTGAATATAAAAATGGTTTATTAAGTTAGCACGATCTATATATGGTACGGCAATTTTGGTAGTTGTCGTAGACTCTAAAATTTATATGTTAATATTTATAAATTTGAAATTTGAAACCTAATACAAGGTTGAAATCCAATAAAGCAACAACATCAAAAACAGTCAAAATGTAAGTCACATCCCCTATAAAACGAAGAAACGAATACAAAATTTGGCAAGAACACAGTGTTCGTTACCTACTTAACCTTCCCATAACAACCAAAAATGGAGTAAAAAGAATGGTAAAGATGTGCACGTGAACAGACGTAACAGATATATTTAACGTTTAATTACTGGTTACAACTTGTCTTTCACCACTTTTGACACTAAAAAGTCAACTTGAAAAGGTAGGTTTTATTCTGCTAATACGTATGTTTTTCACATAATACGGCACATTACGTATAACTTTGCTACATACCATAACATGGAAACCTATTCTTAATGTTACAGACATAATTAGCCAATACTGTTAAAATAGTACATTACCGGTAGTACAGATAAAATAAAATATACGTGTAGTAACCTATATAACATATAGAATAAAGTACATTATGTAAAAAAATATACGTATAAAAACATTTAAAACATAAAACTTATGCTTAATGACAGTAATAATTTTAATTCCATTCATAAAGGGACATGGTACACTCTCATTATTTTTTGTAACATCGCTAAGTTTGGTAAAAAAATAGTGTATAAAAAATCTCTGTCTGCAAAATGCGCTATTAGTTTGGCCGCGGCATGCGAAACGAGAAAAGTGAGATACAGTAGAACTCCTGTATAACGAGTCGGACTTGAAATTTGTTCATTATAAAGAAGTTTCGTTATACAGGATGTGTAACTTTAATATTATTTTTTAACTTTAAATGCTTTATTTATTTTTTTTATTTTTGTGGTACCTTGACCTATTGACCTATTGCTGTATTTTTAATTTTTTTCTTGATTAGTTTTGTAAGTTCATTGTAAAGAACACGTGATAATAAACTTTATGACGCATTTTTCAATAGTAGATAACATTTTTTTTCAATTTGCAATCCTTATCGATTTAATTGTAAAATGTACTGCAAAACTCAAAGGGGTCAAATTACATTTTTTATGCTTTAGCCTTTGTAAGACTTAACATTCATCAAGCGTCTACAATGACAATTCGGTAAATACAGATTATGTGCTCTATAAGACTACTGTTGTTCAATCAGATAAAAATAAAAGTGTGGGCCAAAGTACTGATTTGCATAGTCCCCGTGTACTCGGCACTACCTAAAGCAAAAAGAATACAAAAATTTTTTTTGAAATAATTGATTAAAAATCAAATTTCGATCAATGAAAACCAGATTGAAACATCAATTTTACCATTCAAAGATTATTTCCGGTCACTTTTCTCCAACCTACGACAATATTTGTTTACTTAAAACACGGGAATTTTTGGTACGAACACTGCACCTAATCAGTGCGTGCGAAATTATCTTATCAGCTTGATTCAAAATGAACAAAACAGCTAAAATAACATACTAATCAATTTCAGCTTTAAAATGAATTTCAGTCGGTCTGACTACTACCTAACTTATTTTACTGTATTGTTACAGGTATTTCTTGTAAATAGTTTATATGATGACAATTTGGCTAGGAATCAGTTTATGCCTTTAGCTGCTGGTGCTCATGTTGTTAATGGTACTGTTCAGGCTTGCTTGGATAAAGTTTTTAATGGAGATGTTAAGGTAAAGTGAGGATTTGATTTTAAATATTGTAAAGAAAATTTTTGCTATTTTTTGTTTTGTATAGAAAGTTCATGCCATTTTATGTTTTGTAAAGAAAGTTCTTGCTATTTATAGCTTTGTAAAGAAAATTCTTGCCTTTTTTGTTTTGTAAAAAAAGTTTTTGTCATTTAAAAATTTTTTGCATATAAAAAAATTTTGTTTTAAAAAGTGACATTTTTAATCAAAAAACCTTTTAGGTACAACACGTATACAAAGTACAATGTAACAACATGTATACGAATGATACCTGTTTAGGTTACATAGCGCTACACGAGAAACAACGTGCTATTGTTGTTGGCTTTAGGTAAGTATTTTTATATTTTTTGTTTTGTAAAGAAACTTCTTGCAATTTTTTGTTTCGTAAAGAAAGTTCTTGCCATTTTTTTTGTTTTGTAAAGAAAATTTTTGCAATTTTTAATATTTTTTAAATATTTTTTAATATTCTTTCAGAGGAACAGTATCAGAAGATCAACTGAAGGAAGAGATAGTGAAGACGATGTTCCGACCTCAAGTTCATATGTTCACGGACAAAGTTCAAATCTCAGAGTATTTTGCAACCGCTTTCAACTTATTCTTGAACACTACCAGTTTGAAAAAAGACTTTTTTGATTTACGACTGAAACATTTGGGACATAAAGTTTGGGTAGGTATAGATTTTTTTTTTCAATTTTTAAAATTTTGAAAAAAAAATTTTTTAAATTTTTTTTTGTATTTTAACTATTTTATGGTATTATTTGATAAGCTCGAGCATCTAAAACAATATCGTCAAAATGTGTTTTTATAGCCTAGTGGGTGAGCATGCACCCTGCAGAGCTAAACCACGGGGGTTCGAGTCCGACTGGGTGCAATGTTTATTTTTAGTGTTTTTTGACACGGAAAATAGTTTTCTTAAAAAATTAAAAGTAAAAATGCTGAAGATAATGTATCTTATCATAAAATTTTATTTTTCATTCTATATTCAAGTTTACTTTGTTTTTTAAAGTTTTTTGAGAATTTTTTGCTTTAAGATAACCGGCCATTCCCTCGGCGGAGCACTAGCTTCATTATTCGCAACACACGTGGCTATGTCAAAACACTTGGTTAAGCCTCAAGTTGTACTCTATACTTTTGGTCAACCTAGAGTTGGCAACAGAGATTATGCAGCGTTACACAATTACTTTGTAGACGAGTCGTATAGAGTGATACATAATGCTGATTTGGTTCCAAACATACCATTTCCAATCATGAATTACTATCATCATGACATTGAGGTTGGTTTTTAAGGTCTTGAGGCTTTAATATGATTTTTTTTTGTATTTAAATTTTGTTTAAATTTAAAATTGTAGGTATACTATAAAAATGACATGTCAGTGAAGAAAGCTTATGGTATTTGTGCTGGTGAAGATAACTCAAAGTTATGCCAAGGTGGTAATCAACCAGCTCTAGAAATCAAAGATCATCTAAACTACTTTGGTTATGATATCGAAAGTCATTGTGAAGAATAGCAAATAAATATTAATTTCATATTTTCATAGTTCCTAGTACTAAAATTTATAAAAGCTAGACTAAGGCATTGTTTTTTAGGCTGGCGTAAGGCTAGTTGTAAGCTTGGGTAGGGTCGGGCTGGCGTATAGTAAGGGGTATTGTTAAAGTAAGTCAACTTAGGAAGTGAGACCCGGGCTCTATAAAGGTAGCTTCTGAGCTAGGTAGGATAAAAAAGAGTAGGATAAAAAAAAGTAAGGTTCGGTTGGGCAGGACAAGGCACATTTGGGGGTAGGGTATTGCAGAGTATGGTATAAAAAGGCAGGGAAGGGAAAGAAGGACCTTGTCTTTCTTAAGTAAAGCAAGACAAAGCAACGGCAAGGCACAGGCAAGGCGCAGGCAAGGTTGAGTAGAATACAGTAAAGTACGGTGGGGTAGAAAAATTAAAAACTTTAAAAATTTTTAAGATAGTGTTAGATATGCCACGTCTTTCAAAAACACTAACTATGTACCTGCCGTACTCTCATGTTTTAATTATTATAGTTAATCTAATACTAGAATCATGGCTAATCCTGGGGTTTAAGTAAGTAGCTCAAATCTAGATGTTCTAAATACATGTTGTGCAAACAATCAGACATCAAAAATACTTTTTTCTTTAAATTTTTGAAAAAATTTTGTAACGAAAGTTTTTGCGTTTTTAGCGTATTTTCAAAAGATTAGGGCCGGTTAATGTAGAGGGTAGAGTAACTGTTAAAACGAAAGATGTGAGGAGGAGTTAAGATAAGGTCTTGTCTAAGAGTAGGGCTTGGCTGGGGGAGTAGGTTTTGGTGAAAGGCAAGGCAATGTAGGATAGGGTATAGTAATTTAAGGTAGGGTAGAGTAGGGTAGGGCAGGGTAGGGTAGGGTAGGGTAGGGTAGGGTAGGGTAGGGTAGGGTAGGGTAGGGTGAACTACATTTTTCAATTTTTAAGTTTTCGAAGTTCCAGCCAGTGCTTACTCTCTAATTACTCGATTTAACTCTAAAAATAACCCGCCTCAGCCGAGTTTCAACCTAAATTTGGCTCGAATTTGGTCGAAAAATTGTAAAACATGCGCTGTGAAACCTTGCCTGAATAGAGGCAATTGAAACTTCCGCGTAAAACTAATTTCACGCTATTCTTCATCGTTTACGTTAAAGTATTCTTCATTAAATCTATCTAGCTTGATTTTTAAATTGTCAACAATTCAGGGTTAGGCACTTTGGGTTCAGTTTGCCAATTTCTGGTCGATTCTAGGTATTGCAGGTTGTTTTTTATAGCTTGGCGTTCCATATGGTCCAGGTTATAAAGCATGGGTGTTTGAGACATTAATGATTATGATCGTAGAGTTGAAAACTCTGTTTTTGTTAGTTTACGCCTTATAAGACATGTTTTTATTAGACTAGGCCAGAAAAATTGGAAGGCATATGACTTTACCTATAATAGGACTAAGGCTAGGGTTGAAGCTAGGAGTTGAAGAGTAAGAGAAGGGGTTGGAATAGGGATAGAAATTAGGATAGAGGTAAGAGTAAGAATAAAATAGAACTTTAGGGCCGCGGCCAGGGTTAGGGATAGAGCAAGAAAAAATTTTGTAACGAAAGTTCTTGCGGTTTTTTAGAAGAATGAACTTTGTAAAGAAAGTTCTTTCTTTTTTTTCCGAAAGAAGTTATGTAAGGAAAAGTATTGTGGTTAGCCGCCGTCACTTTATTCAAAATATAATACAGCCATTTTTAAATAGACGAGACGATAAACTACGTTTCCGAATATGTTAAATTGATATTGTATTTAAAGCATATTTAAGAACGAATGCCTAAAATGTCATTTCTTTTTTTACCCACTTTTTATCTTTTGTGTAGGGTGAAAAAGTTCATAGACATTGAGTGTAACAATTTAAGATTGTACATACATTTTAGTTTAATATTTTAAGTGTATTGTTGTCGCTTTGCGTAGCATTTTATAATACATAGTTTGAATTTAGAGGTTACACGTATGTTTAAATAGAAGTACGTTGCTATAGGCTTAGGCGATGATATAAGTAAGCTAAGGCGTTGTAAGGTTAGGTTAGTAAAGTTAGAAGTATGTATTTAGTAAAATAAGCCTAATAAGTTTAGGCTTATAAGTGTTTAGCTTGGTAGGATTAGGCTTGGTAGGCTTAGGATTAGCAGGCTTAGGCTTAGTAGGCTTAGGCATAGTAAATTTAGGCTTAGTGGGTTTAAGCTTACGCTTAGGTTTTGTAGATGTAGTCTTAGCAAGCTTATGCTTAGTTAGGTTTAAGGTTAATAGGCTTAAGATTTGTAGGTGTAGGCTTACTAGGTTTAGGCTGACTAAAATTAAGCTTTTTAGGTGTAAGCTTATACTTAGTAAGGTTTAGAGTTAATAGACTTAAGCTTTGTAGATGTAGGCTTAGTAGGCATAAACATAGTAGGCTTCGGCTTAACAGCTTTAGGCTTACTAGACTTACGCTTGTAGTTGTAGGCTAAATAGGCTTGTATGAGGCCGTACCGAGGTATCAGCATTGGCTTTTGGGCTTGCATTTGCTGGCTTGGGCCGGCCATTTCTGGTTTTTTTTTACTCTGGCCGGTCTGGACCGTAGCCGGACTGGGCATGGGGTTCTTTTTTCGGATCTACTTAGCAGGGTTGTTTTTTTGAAAGTTTGCTTGAATTTATTTTTGACCGTTATGTCATCATTTTTCCTTCGTTTCAATCTGTTTTTGTCTTCCAGTAGAAGACTTCCATCAATAAGGCCAATTTGAAGTCAAACCTACACATTTTCGAGCTATTTTTAGCGTTGTTTTAACACTTTTTTAAAATTATTTATATACCACACGGCTTGTCTATATAATAAGTGTATTACGTGTTTCACCATGTGTCTATAACATCACTTTTCATACGATGCGTTCAGACAAGTCAATCTTAATTTTAATGAGGTTTTGACTGAATTTAGCGGAATTCATTGTTAAAATACGCTAAATGTTCAATTTTTGTTTGTGTATTTTAAGTAGAGGCAGTTTTATAAGATTCTCATTAGACTTAGAGCTAAAATTCTTAGGCTTAATAATCTTAGGTTTAATAGGCTCAAGCCTAGAAATCTTAGGCTTAACGCGCTTAGGATTACGCTTTTTAGGCTTAATTATAGTAGGCTTCGACTAAGCATGCTTATCGTTACTAAGTGGGTTTTAGAAGCCTCAGGGGAGTAAGCTTAGGCTATCTAGAAATAGGTTTAGTAAGCTTAGGTTTTGTAGTCATAGGCATAGTAAGCCTTGGCCGGGTAAGCATATGCGTAGAATTCTTAGGTTTGTTAGGCTTAGGCCTGTTAGGCTTAGGCTTACAATTAGTAAATTTAAGTTTAGTAAGCTTTGGCTTAGTAGATTTAGACTTATTGTTAGTAGGCTTAGGTTTAGTAAGCTTAGGCTCAGTAGGCTTAGGCTTAGTAGGCTTAGGCTTAGTAGGCTTAAGCTTAGTAGGCTTAGTGAGCTTAGGCTTAGTAGGCTTAGACTTAGTAGTCTTAGGTTTAGTAAGTTTTGGCTTAGTAGGTTTAGGCTTAGTAGGCCCAGGCTTTTTGGGATTAGACATAGCAGCCATAATCTAATTCGGCATAAGTTTAGGCTTCTCTCAACAGATTTAGGCCTAGTATCTAACTGTAAAAAATATATTGTTGTCACATATAGTGAAACTCCTGTATAACAACTTCCTCTGAGATTTTAAGATTGTACGTTATAATAAATATTGTCATAACATACGTACTAAAATCTTAATATAATAAAATCATTGATTAAGAACTTTTAAGAGAGAACATGTTTAAACACTGTTTAAGAACACAGTGACATTGTCGAATAACTTTATGGCTTAAAATGTAGCGTGACATAAAATTTGTTCTCAACTGTCACCATGTAGTTTGTGATGAAACACTGTCATTTTGTTTCTATTTTAAAAAGATATTGTACCATATTTGAAGACTTGTCACATTTTCTCTGTTTATATTATTGTAAATTGATAAGGAACTTGTAGTGAAGTTATTAGAAAGACTTGTTGCTAAGGAATTGAAGAGGGAGGGAAAAGGGAGGATGGCTAATAATGCAATTAAGGGTTTGTAAAGAAAGTTTTTGTCATTTTTTATTTTGTAGAGAACGTTCTTGTCATTTCTTGTTTTGTAAAGAAAGTTCTTGCCATTTTTTGTTTTGTAAAGAAAGTTCTTGCCATTTTTTTGTAAAGAAAATTCTTGTTATTTTTTGATTTGTAAGAAAAGTTTTTGCCATTTTACGTTTTGTAAAGAAAGTTTTTGCTATTTTGTGTTTTGTAAAGAAAGTTTTTGTCATTTTAATTTTTATAAAAAAATTATGATATCTTCAACTTTGTAAACAAAGTTTTTGCAATATTTATACATTTCAATTGTTTTTTGAAAATTCATAGTATAACTTGCCACCCGCAGCCTGCACATCTTTTACAGCTTGTAAAACAACAATTTTTGAGTTTGTAAAGAAAGTTCTTGCTATTTCTTAGTTTGTGAAAAAAGTTCTTGCTATTTTATGTTTTGTAACAAAAGTTCTAGTTATTTTTTGTTTCGTAAAGATAGTTCTTGCAAACGTTTGATATCACATTAAAAATGCTTAAAAACTGACACTCCAGCGTTAATTTACTATGTCTTCTCATAGTATATAAAAAATTTTTTTACATTAATATAATAGTAGGCGTTGCAAACAACGCCAAAGTATTTTCTTCATTTTTCAAAAATTTTCACTTTCCAACGCCTGGGGGCGGCTTCGAAGTTACGGTGAGTGTAATTTCGAAGCCATTCATCAAAAGTCGCCTAATTTTTCACTTATTTTTTGGAATTTTCAAAAGTTTTTTTTTATTTTCAACTGCCATTTTGGTTTAGAATGTTGCAATTTTACTAAAATTTGGAAAGAAAGTTCTTGCTGCTTTTCAGAAAATGAGTTTGTAAAGATAGTTATTGCGATTTAAAAAAAAATAAGTTTTGTAAAGAAAGTTCTTGCGGTTTTTTCAAAAAACGAGTTTTGTAAAGAAAGTTCTTGCGGTTTTTTCAAAGAATAAGTTTCGTAAAGAAAGTTCTTGCGGTTTTCCAAAAAAGGAGTTTTGTAAAGAAAGTTCTTGCGGTTTTCCAAAAAAGGAGTTTTGTAAAGAAAGTTCTTGCGGTTTTCCAAAAAGGAGTTTTGTAAAGAAAGTTCTTGCGGTTTTTTCAAAGAATAAGTTTCGTAAAGAAAGTTCTTGCGGTTTTCCAAAAAAGGAGTTTTGTAAAGAAATTTCTTGCGGTTTTCCAAAAAAGGAGTTTTGTAAAGAAAGTTCTTGCGGTTTTCCAAAAAAGGAGTTTTGTAAAGAAAGTTCTTGCGGTTTTCCAAAAAGGAGTTTTGTAAAGAAAGTTCTTGCGGTTTTCCCAAAAAAAGGAGTTTTGTAAAGAAAGTTCTTGCGGTTTTCCAAAAAGGAGTTTTGTAAAGAAAGTTCTTGCGGTTTTTTCAAAGAATAAGTTTCGTAAAGAAAGTTCTTGCGGTTTTCCAAAAAAGGAGTTTTGTAAAGAAAGTTCTTGCGGTTTTCCAAAAAAAGGAGTTTTGTAAAGAAAGTTCTTGCGGTTTTCCAAAAAAGGAGTTTTGTAAAGAAAGTTCTTGCGGTTTTTTCAAAGAATAAGTTTCGTAAAGAAAGTTCTTGCGGTTTTCCAAAAAAGGAGTTTTGTAAAGAAAGTTCTTGCGGTTTTTTCAAAGAATAAGTTTCGTAAAGAAAGTTCTTGCGGTTTTCCAAAAAAAGGAGTTTTGTAAAGAAAGTTCTTGCGGTTTTTCCAAAAAAGGAATTTTGTAAAGAAAGTTCTTGCGGTTTTCCAAAAAAAAGGAGTTTTGTAAAGAAAGTTCTTGCGGTTTTCCAAAAAAGGAGTTTTGTAAAGAAAGTTCTTGCGGTTTTCCAAAAAAGGAGTTTTGTAAAGAAAGTTCTTGCGGTTTTCCAAAAAAGGAGTTTTGTAAAGAAAGTTCTTGCGGTTTTTTCAAAGAATAAGTTTCGTAAAGAAAGTTCTTGCGGTTTTCCAAAAAAGGAGTTTTGTAAAGAAAGTTCTTGCGGTTTTTTCAAAGAATAAGTTTCGTAAAGAAAGTTCTTGCGGTTTTCCAAAAAAGGAGTTTTGTAAAGAAAGTTCTTGCGGTTTTCCAAAAAAGGAATTTTGTAAAGAAAGTTCTTGCGGTTTTCCAAAAAAGGAGTTTTGTAAAGAAAGTTCTTGCGGTTTTTTCAAAGAATAAGTTTCGTAAAGAAAGTTCTTGCGGTTTTCCAAAAAAAGGAGTTTTGTAAAGAAAGTTCTTGCGGTTTTTTCAAAGAATAAGTTTCGTAAAGAAAGTTCTTGCGGTTTTCCAAAAAAGGAGTTTTGTAAAGGAAGTTCTCGCGTTAAAACGTTCAAAGATTATGTTATTGCCAATAGTTTTCTTACATTATCAAATTACTCATGCATGGCGTTTGTTTGTCAACTTTGTTCTGGTCTATAACTAATTTCATTACTCATTTGATGTTTCAATCTTTTCTGTTACAAATGGTAATGACATTAATTTTTGATTTGTTATTAATATATATTTTAACTTTTGCAACTTTTTTTATAATATTAAAAAATGTTTATGGTAGATCATGATTTTTTGGTATATTTTCAAGTTCCTTAAAGTTTTTGTCTTTCTTTAAACTGTAACCATAGTTTTGAATTGTGGGTCCGGTCCGATAGCTCCGATCAGGGCCGGGCGCGGGGGAAAACCCCTCCCAGAAACAAATTTTCGAAAAAATTTGAACGTGGTCCCCCCCTTGTGGGTTTTCGGAAAAAATTTTTCGCAAAGCAATAGGTAGCGCTACCTGTGTCGATTTTTTTGACCCCCGCCCCCAGACCAAAAGTCCCCGCCCGGCACTGGCTCCGATACAATATTTTAGACTTTTGAATTTTGAACATTCTTGCACACTAGCACAGTACGTTAGAATCTACGGCCAAAGTTTTGCCTTTTGGGTTTTGACGATTCAAATTTTTGAATTTATTTTCCCGCCAAACCCATATTTCGAAAACCATTATAGATATGAAAAGAACTAACCGCATCTAGAAGGGTCAGAACCACTCCAAGTAGGAGGAGGGGGGGGGTAGAAAAAGTTTTAGGCTGATCCGATAAGGGAGTAGAAAAAGTTTTAGAACGATCAAATAGGAAGGTAGCAAAAGTTTCAGATTGATCCGACCGGCAGAAAAAAGCGCGGGAAAACAAAATTCAAATTCTGGACTCTCGCATTTGATACGGTATTGGAAGAACTCTATCTGTAACAGCCGTGTCATGAGATACAACAAGTTCGGACATTTTTGATAGCATGAACCAAAAGTAGCGGGACACTTACATTTATTTTGCAACTTAAAAGTGTCCCGCTACTTTTGATTCAACTTAATATAAATTGACACATTTTGCGGTAATTTTGAAAAATTTTGATTATTTGGGTTAAAAGAAAAAAAATTAATTATTTGGGTTAAAATATCTTTTTATTTTAGTAAATTTGCATATTTATGCTATTTTTGACGTTGTACGTTTAATTGTGTTTGGACATGTTTCGTCGTATAAATTGTCAACAATATAATAATTTGCCAAATAATGATTATTAGGTGAAAAATATGAATAGTCATATATATTTATGACTTTTTTGTTTTATTTTATAACCAGTACTGTGTTATATGATCAAATGTGTCCGGAAATGTTTCATCGTATAACTTTTCTCCGCGCAAAATAAAAAAAAATTTTAAATTTTTGTGGTTTTAAGGCCTTTCTTAATAATATACTTTCCAGTTTCGTACAAAAAATGCACGTACGTGACGCATTTTTCATTTTCGAAGTCACATCGTGCATGCTCGGCGTCGTTCTCAACGTGATTCTCCTCTATGTAGCAGCGAAAACGACGAAGAAATCAGCAGTATTCAGTGAATTTGGTAAAATTGTAAAAGTAAACGTACTATTTGACTGCTATTTAATTGTCAGTACGATGATATCTGGTGCTCAAACTGACCTGCAGGGTGGTATCTTCTTCATGGTGGATGGATATGACAGAAGGGATATGTCATCGTATGTAAATACGATGTTTGGCTTCTTTTGGACGTCGTCGATTGGGTTTGCGTCGTTGTATGGGTCTTTGCCCATGTATTTTAGATATGTGACGTTTTGCAAGTGAGTTATCAATTTTTTTTGATTTTAAAATTTTGAAATTTTAAAATCAAAAATTATTAACTTCAAACTATACAGAAAGATCATGTAGATATAACACTTTCAGCAAAGTACTAAATCGCGCTTTCCAGAAAATCTTGAGAAAATCGAGATAAAAAAATTACGTTTTGAATTTCCCGCCAAATTGGCATTGTGTTTCAAGCTTATAACTTCGCTATTTTTTGACTTTTAATCATTTTTCTTTAAAATAAGAGTAGAATACTTTTAAATAAACCTACATTTTTAAATTTGTAATTGTAGCTTATCTAGAAAGTCGAAAAAAGTGCTTGAAACACAATGCCAAATTTGCCAAATTGGCGGGAAATCAAAATAATTTAAATTTAAAACTCAAAAGCGCAAGCTAAAATTTTTTGTGGGTACTATTGGTAGTACAAAGGATTTATATAAAAATTATGAGCTGATTCTGAGCGAGGCAAATAGGGCAGTTTCCCCGTTAAAGTTTTTGTAAAAGAGACATGTTATACGATTAAACATGCTCAGACATGTTGCAAGTATAATTTGGCAAACTGGAAATAGTTTAATTTTAAATGTAACATTGATGTTTAAACATATTTTTATTTGTTTTTAAAAAATTTTAAGTAATTTTATGAATGGTGACATGTTATACGAGCAAACATGTTCGGACATGTTTTATCGTATAACGTGTAAAATCACAAAAGTATTTTAACTTTAAATTTAGAACTTCTGAACAATCATATTCGTTTCTTTTTTCAGAATTTTAAGTATTTTTATTCCCCTTTTAACCAAAAACACTATTTAATACCATCATTTTAACTTTTCAAAACAACCATTCAAACTCATAAACCAACAATTGTTATAGAGAAGAAACAGTGTCGACGTTTCGAATATTCTCGTGGATATCATTGGTAGTGGTAACGGCCGTCTGGAACTGTACTTGGGCCTTACACTCGGCTTTTGACAATCTTCAGAGGCATGACGAGTTGGCAGAACTGTTGGATCATGATTTTTGGTCATTACCTGATGGGGAACTACCCTTCTTCAGCGGAGTGTCTTTGGTACGTTTTTTTGATAAAATGGTACCATATTTATGGTACTACTGGTACTAGTGGTACTACATAAAATTATATTTTTTTTGCAATTTTTAACATTATTTCAAAGGTATTATTACAAAAAAGACCTTTTAAAAAATGGTACCAAAAGTTTTGGTACTACTGGTACTAATGGTACCACATAAAAAATTGGTAATTTGGTTTTTTTTGTATGCAAATTTCATTTTTTTACATTTTTTTTGATTTTTTGTTTATTAAAAATGGCTTTTTCGACAATTTTTGTTTACTGCAGGCTGCGAGGGACATTTTATACGACGAAACGTATTTTTTGAATTTTGAGTTTAAAATGACATGTATTGTTAAAAATGCGTTATTTTGAAGATTTTGATACATTTTTTTAAAATAAAAAAATATTTTGAACTTTTTTTATTATGACATTTCCAGACTAACCTAGGCGGCTTGATGTTCGCCTTGTCATGCACAATAAGCTTCAGTGTCTCCACATCATTAGGTATATACTTGGTCATGAAAATCAGAGCAAAATTGGAAGAAGTGTCCAAAAGTGCATTATCAGACAAAACGAAAAGGTTACAGACGCAGATGAACAGGATGATCATCTTTCAGGTAAGAACTTTTTTTCTATGTATTTTTTGACCAAAGTATAAAAATTGATGGAAAATTGCAAGAACTTTGTTTACAAAACTTATTTTCTTAAAAACCGCAAGAACTTTCTTTGCAAAACTCATTTTTACAAAAGCCGCAAGAACTTTCTTTACAAACACCAATTTTTTGAATAACCGCAAGAACTTTCTTTACAAAACACATTTTTTGAAGAACCGCAAGAACTTTCTTTACAAAACCTATTTTTTTAAAAACCGCATGAACTTTCTTTACAAAGCTTATATTTTGAAAAACCGCAAGAATCTTTACAACACACATTTTTTCAAAAAACCGCAAGAACTTTCTTTACAAAGCGTAATTTTTGAAAAACCGCAAGAGCTTTGTTTACAGATGTCTTATTTCTAATGTCATCATACGTGTCATGAAATAACAAGTCAATAAGGAAGAAACTTTCTTTACAAATTCACAATCATTATAAAACATTGTTATTGACTATATTTTTTGATTCCGGGTCTGTTTCCTCTTCCTTCATCAAAGTTACAGTATCTTTTTAATGTCAATAACATACACGAAGACGGCTGAAGCCACATGTACCTTGAGTGTTTGTAAAGTTCGCTTCTGGTCATGAATAGGACTAATTTGATGAATTTTATGGTGTTTGGGTTCAGTTTTTTTTTAAATAATAAGGGGGGGGGGTGTTCTGGGAGCAGACTTAATTCATCAACTGTGTTTTTAGTATAAAAACTTTTTTTGAAAAAAATGTTTTGTAAAGAACGTTTTTGAGGTTTTTTCAAAAAAAAAGTTTTGTAAAGAAAGTTCTTGCGGTTTTTACAAAAAAGAGTTTTGTAAAGAAAGTTGTTCTCATTTTTGGGATATTATTGTATAACATGTCACCAGCAGGCTGCAGAGAGACAAGAAAAAGAAAAATCAAACTGAAAGCTTTTGTAAAGAAAGTTCCTGCGGTTTTTCAAAAAATGAGTTTTGTAAAGAAAGTTATTGCGGTTTTTCGAAAAAATATGTTTTGTAAAGAAAGTTTTTGCAATTTTTTGAATAATGAGTTTTGTAAAGAAAGTTCTTGCGGTTTTTTAAAAAAATAGTTGTGTAAAGAAGGTTGTTTTGATTTCTTGGGTATTATCGTATAACATGTCACCAGCAGACTGCAGGGAGACACAGAGAAACAGAAATGAAAACAAAAACTTCTGTAAGGAAAAAAAATGTTATGTAAAGAAAGTTCTTGCGATTTTTAGAAAAATAAGTTTTGTAAAGAAAGTCCTTGCGGTTTTTACAAAAAACTTAAATTTTTAAACATTTTTACAATTTTTAAAATTTCAGTTGTTCATAGCCACAGTACTGGGCCAACTGCCCGTCTTTCTTGTCGCCGGCCAAATGATATTCCAAACCCATTTCCCTCCATCATTAACAATCGTAGTGGGCTGTATGGACCCTCTCCTACCGGTCGTTAACCCTCTGGCTGACATTTTCTTCGTCGATGCGTATCGGCGACAACTGTTCGCGTTGCCGCGACAAATCTGGAGCAAACATTCGGTGGGCGACAACACTTCCACGGAAGTCGACCGGACTAAGCGCCGGCTTTCCATGCCTAGCTAAATATGTTTTGTTTCTAGCCAAATTTCGTTTATTTGTTTGCCCTGTGTCATGTTACAGTATGCTGTCAAATATCTCACACTTTGAGGTGTTACACGATGATTTCTAAAGTAATTGAGGAATCATACTGTAACATGACTTATATACTGTATCTAGCATTTTTGTCTTCTATGTAAAATGCATTTTTGTTTTGCTACATTGTTGTATCCTCACTTGAAACTCGTCGTATTTCACTTTCTTTTACTTTGCAATACCTATGTTAATATCCGTCATGTTCAAGCAAATTTTTTTAAAATTCAAAAACTTTTTATCGTACTATTTTGTATTGTAATTTGTTTATTACATCCCACAAACCTTATATTTGCCCAGAATGTTTTTTGTACAATCGTCACACAACACGTAAAAGTAACTAACCACTACCTAAGTACCTATATCAGCAATATTAAATCACTGTTGTAAATAAATGTTTTTTACTTTTGCATTTTGGTATGTATCGATCAGTTGGAAAACCCTAACAATAAAAAAATTGAAAATTAGCCATTCCTTTTTAGCTACAAGAAATTCACTATGTGTCCCACCACGAAAACAATTACGATTAGACTTATAAAGAGGCCGGGCCCCGAATCCTGATTATCACTATACGTCCTACCACTAAAACAATCACCAGATTGTATTTTACTATCATTTACGCTTCTTATAGTCAGTTTTATTAACCATACGTTAACCCTAACCTTTCCAGAAAGCCATCAACCACATACCGAAATCAACATTCTTTTTCACAATATTTACAAAATGGGAACGGACTGACACAGTGGGCCCGGACAATGGAACGTTCTCTTAATAAACAAGAATCTTTGACTTGTCAATTGTTTCACTTTGTTGCTTTATATACTAATAACTAACACGTTAACCATACATTACAGCAGCAGAACTTCTGTATAACAAAGTTTCCTATATCAAAATTTCTGTATATTGCATCGACTACTCCATTAATCACTATACAGTGCATTTAAAGCTCTTTTATATTGAGGCTGTTATAGCAAACAAATTTTAAACCCTCAGCGATTTGTTACACAGGTGTTTTACTGTACTCTTTAATAATTTTCATAACTTATTTGTTATTATGCATATATATTGACTTACTTAATAATAATAAAACCTAATTAAATTTGTTAATTTTTTTAAACACTTTATGTGATGAAACTATTTTTACTCTATAAAAATTTACTCTAACAATAATTTTTTACCCCAAAAATATTTTTACTCCGAAACCTAAACAATTTTCAATCAGTCGTTAGTGTGTAAAGAAAGTTTTTATCGTTCACAAAAACCAAGAGTACTATAAAGAAGACCCGTGTTTGACATGTGTTCGAAAAAAGTAAATTAAAATAGTCATGATGTCAATTAGAATTCAAAAGATGCACGTCAAACGCATCTGGAAGCCATTTTGTAAAAAACAACAGCGAACTAGCAAAAAAAGTAAGGATAAAAGATCAAAAGTGCATTTGTGTAACAGATTTGGATCATTTGAATCAAGTTTGGGCAGTGTTTGGTGGGCCTGAGATAAGTGTCAACTAGATTTGAAACGGGGCCGTCCGGAGGGGCCGGGCCGGGCACCTGGGACCACACTCACAGTAGATTTATTGACAATCAGACAAGAATTATCATTAGTTTGCGGGATTGCGGACCTGATGAACGGTCCTGTTTGGACTTATTTCCTTTGCGCTCACCGGCCTATTTATATTTTGACCCATATTGGCTTTTAATGCTTGTAATTTTTAATGTACTTCCGTTTTTTTAACTTTGCACCGAATTTGAATAATTTTCAGAAACTACAAACTCATCAACTGCTTTTCGAAATTTCTACGATATACAAGTTACTGCAACGAACGAAAACGTGCACTGACTACGTAAATATTGTTGGAGCGAGGCGGAATTTAAAATCAACTATTCGGGCTATTCCGCTTATTAACTATTAACTGCTCTGGTTATTGAATATTACATAAACCAAATCAACAAAGATGAAGCCTTTCGGAATATTACTCACCTTGGTATTAGTTATCACGTTGATCTCAAACTTGGCGATAGCATTCCCGGTTAAAGGCCGAATATTCTGTAAAGTCGATGATGAAGTGGTAAAACCATTAAAGAAAGCTATCGTGGAATTGAAAGACAACAGCAACTACAATCTAGGGTAAGCATATATATGTCCCAAGTTTAGCAATCAACCGCGTGTTGAACATATGTCGTTCCATTTGCCGTTAACAGGTTGCCTATTTTTCTTTAGATCTTTTGTAGGTTGCGTTAAGTTTGACCATTTCAGTTACAACAGTAATGTAGAAACCGACAAATTTGGTCGCTTTTACTTTGACGCAACATCATTTGACACTACCAAGGTCTTAAAATTGGAAGCGTACCATACAGAATGTGGGGATGCAGTAGTTCTTACAAAAACTTTTGAAGGACCAAGTACTTATGATTTCAACGACATTGTACTTGGTTCTTAGTGATGACGCCACAAAAATCTACGTTCTAAAGTAAAGCAGTACACACACAATTAATATAAGTGCCATAAGTGCTGCTAAGATACCTGTCTTTTCCTTCTTTTTAGTTATCTCTTACTTCCATATGACCTTTGTTGTACTTTCTTTCTACTTTTTACTCGGTTTTTTAGGTATATGTATATAAAAAGTTGCAATAAAAACATTCTCGGCGATCTGTAAGACCGCTTATTAAAGTAGAGTTGTTCTACTTTTCCTTTCCGTTTACTTTACTTTGAGTACATTACGCGCTTCCGCTTGAATTTAAAATAGCATTTTGTTGTATTCTACTTTAACTGAATTTCCTACTAATAAATTTTGTAATTGTTAGTTAAAAAAATCTTTTGACCAATAATAAAAACTGAAGCTATTATAGCAATACATAATTGACTAAAATACGTTCGCCACATCGCTGATTTCTAAAAATTTGTAATAGAAGCAACATGAAATTAATATTGCTGTTGTTTTACTTATCCCAACTACTATTTAAAGTTTACCCACTAGCTTTAACTAGCCTAGTGCCAAGCTACACCGATTGTCCTCAAGGAAGACGGTTTGTGGTTGGTCACATTATGTATATTTGTGTGGTAAACGAAGAAAAGAAACAAAGAAGCTTTAAACCTTACGGTAAGTCACCAAATCTTATTAAGGACGTATTTTACCGTGAACTCTAACAGAGCCAGACTGAGCCAATTTTTTTGACTAGGCTCTTGAGTACACTTTTGCCAGTCTGGTCCCTTTCAATTTTGTTTTAGCTCAGCCCAGCCAGGCGCGGAATTAGGCCGATGCCAGGATTAACAGTCCCTTTTCAAGTTTAATTTTTACAAATAATAGCAATGGCTAAAACTGAAAATAATCTTGCAAAAAATAATTATAGCTTGTGCAACTGAAAACAACGTGAACACAACGTTGATCAAGCCCAACACTACCTGGAATGATCAATATTTTCGATATAAATGCGAGAAGGACGACAATAAACTTACTCTGAAGGCTTTGAGTAAGTAAAAAGAATTAAAAATAGTAATGTATAGTATCAAGTATACTATATAATGTTTTAAAATTATGCTCAAAGATCAAAAATAGTAAAATACGGCTTCTTCTAATTCGTTTAGTTATAATTTTAGCTTGTCTACTCAGCGATGTTCATGTAACAGCAGGTACGACTATTCGTAGAGGTGAAACTGAGTACCAATGTGTTTTGGATAACAGTGTTTATATGAAACTTATTCAGAAAAGAAGTAAGTTATTGTCATTTAGCACAATGTAGGATAGGGTAGGGTAAGGTAGGGTAGGTAGGGTAGGGTAGGGTAGGGTAGGGTAGGGTAGGGTAGGGTTGGGTAGGGTAGGATACGGTACAATACGGTACGGTACGGTAAGGTACGGTAGGATACAGTAGTGTAGGGTAAGGTGAATTTTGGTAAAATTTAGTATCTTTAGCGTGCACTATATAAACTAACTAATTACTTTTAGTGCTCCACGACTTCTGTATGCCCGGAAACCAAAACGACAGTATGTTAGAAAACGACCAATGCCCAGGCTTGTCGATAAGCGCCATTCACGCTAAATACGGCTCTGGAACGGCAGTGACTTTTGATGAGAAGACTATTGTCGATGAGGAATAATCAATCATAATCTTCTCGCATGTATTAGGCCGTTCACTTAATTCCGCGCCCTATTCCTTCAGAAATTTTCTTAAAAAGGAGCGCAGAATTAAGTGTACGACCTAATACTAATATAAAATGTTATTTAATTTTTTACCAATATATTTTTTAGTTGAGCAGATCTTATTTATACGTATTTTACATTTTTTTGAATTTTTTAAATTTTTTAAAAATTTTTTTACATTTTTAACTTCCTTTTCTATTATTTTTTCGTATTTTATAAACCTAACAGCTGTACAATAAAACGAATAACATCCCTCATCTACGCGCAGCTAATTTTATTCAAGTTTTTTTGTCGAAAAAAAATAATTCCCACTTTTACGGAAACGATTTCTCCTTTTCCGTCTTATTACACAACTGTGACCGCAACAACAATGGGAGTTGAAAGTAAGCTGCAAAAAACAACAAAATGACGTTTTTCTTGTATTTGTGACACAAAACACTGGCCAGCGTATTTTACAAAAACATTTATAATTTTAATAAATTTGTAAAGAAAGTTGTTGCGATTTTTCAAAAAATTAGATTTGTAAAGAAAGCTCTTGCAGTTTTTTAAAAAAAAATTTTGTAAAGAAAGTTATTGCGGCTTCCGAGAAAATATGTTTTGTAAAGAAAGTTCTTGCGGTTTTTCGAAAAATGTGTTTTGGAAAGAAAGTTCTTGCGGTTTTTCGAAAAATGTGTTTTGGAAAGAAAGTTCTTGCGGTTTTTCGAAAAATGCGTTTTGTAAAGAAAGTTCTTGCGGTTTTTCAAAAGATAAGTTTTGTAAAGGAAGTTCTTGCAGTTTTTCAAAAAATGGGTTTTGTAAAGAAAGTTCTTGCGGTTTTTCGAAAAATGAGTTTTGTAAAGAAAGTTCTTGCAATTTTTCGAAAATACGTTTTGTAAAGAAAGTTCTTGAGGTTTTTCGAAAAATGTGTTTTGGAAAGAAAGTTCTTGCGGTTTTTCGAAAAATGTGTTTTGGAAAGAAAGTTCTTGCGGTTTTTCAATATCATCGTATAACATGTCTCTCGCAAGCTGCTGAATAAAAACCTTCTACTAATTAATACCCCTAATAAATCCATTGCCATTCCAATTAACCTCCCGCAACGTTCACCTCAATTTTTTTTATTTTTTCGATTGCACCAAAGTCATTAACATGACAAGTGGGCGTCTTTTGTATCTTCACCCTTCTTCGTCTTCTGTAGCCGAAGAAAAAGAAGAGGATACGGCTTTATAAAGAAGAGAAGCCTCTTGAAGCGGACAAAGTCATTCCGTCATTGAACAGGCTTACGTGAACGAGGTACGTTGAGCTGTTGTTTTAGAGGTGTTTTAGTTTTAAACTTCTTGTTTTAGAATGTTTTGTAGGGTTACCGAATCTAAGCTTAGTATTTTTCGAGTTAGTAGGCTTAGTAGTCCTAGGGTTTAGTATGCTTAGGCTTGGTAGGCCTAAGGCTTAGTAAGCTTAGTATGGATATGCTTTCTAATTTTTAGTAGGCTTAGGCTTAGTATGCTGAGACTGAGTAGCCTTAGGCTGAGCATTCTTAAGCTTTGTAGACCTAGGCTTATTAGGTTTATTAAGTTTAGGCTGAGTAGGCTGAAGCTTGATTGACTTAGGCTAACGGTTAGTAGGCTTAGGATGCTGAAGCTTAGTAGGCTTAAGCTTAATAGACTTAGGCTTAGTAGGCTTAGGCTTAGTAAGATCTAGAGTTTTGTAAACAAAGTTCTTGCAACCTATATTAAAATTTTCATTTCAGAATGCTAGACCCACGACAAGCGGGCTATTCAGCCGTTGGGCTTTCCTTAATCACATTGTTCAGTCTACTGTTCTACATCCCCAGTTTTACCGAGAAAATCGACCGAATTGACATGTTTGTGAGTTTTTAGTAAAATGGTACCAAGAGTACCACTCTGTAACTTTCAAAGTACCAAGAGTACCACTTTGTAATCAGTGCCATGCTGTAACAGTACTTCTAACATACCTTACCTTTCCAGTTAAAAGTCAACAATGACGAATTCAAAGTGATGGCAGACCAAGCCTGGGGAGAACTACTGTCAGCTCGCGCCCTGCCTTTATCCGAACGCCAAAAGCGTCAAGCCTACGACAATCTGCCAAAACAATACCCATTGCCAAGCACCTACCTCAAGCCAGGAGCCTCCCAAACCTGTACCTGTGCTACTGAGAACAACTGTCCCAGTGGACCACCAGGACCATCCGGACGACCAGGAGAAGACGGTATTCCTGGGCTACGTGGTGACCCAGGTACTATCGGTGAACCGGGAATAGTACCACCACCAGAAATCAGAGGCTACGAGACTTGTCGTCGCTGCCCATCCGGACCCAAAGGACCATCGGGACCGCCCGGAGAAGGTGGCCCACTCGGCTCGGAAGGACCACAAGGACCTCAGGGTCGGAAAGGAGACGATGGTCGACCAGGCTACGCCGGCAACGGCGGTGTACCAGGCGAGGCGGGTCCAGCAGGCAAGCCCGGTGATCAAGGACCACCTGGATTGGACGGCGTTCGCGGTGAGAAAGGACCAATTGGACCAAAGGGAGACACAGGACCATCTGGCCAGAAAGGACCACAAGGCTACCCAGGCTCGGATGGACAACGTGGTACTGATGGTTTGCCTGGACCATCAGGACCAACCGGCCAGAAGGGAGTTCGTGGCCAAGAGGGCCGGCCTGGAGTACAAGGTGCGATTGGTTCGCCAGGAAAGGATGCTGAATATTGTGCTTGTCCCGAGCGTGGTGCCAAGAAACAGGACTACTCGGCACCAGTTGAGCAGGGATATCAACAGAAACAAGGACCATACAAGAAGGCGGCCAAGAAGATTTAAAATTTTTATGAAATTTCATGGATCTTGGTTGCTTTTTTTCATTTTCAGGCTTTTAAACTTGAAAATAAACGAATTTTTGAATTTCAAAATAGATTTTAAAGAACATTTTCAAAAATCAAAACAAAATCGTATTTTAGATTCGAAAAAAAAGTGAAATACTAGCATTTTTTCCAAAAAACCGCAAGCTTTCGGTGCTCATGAAGAATAACTCCCCAGCAGGTGAATAATAATGCCCCATGGAAATGAGCTACAATCGTTCCCCACTTATTCAAATTTTAAGATTTTTTTTCAATTTCTCATTCTTTCATTTTGCTTGCTGAATTATGGTCGGACCGCGAACTTACGAAGGAATCACTGATGACATTGCCAAATGTAAAAAAAACAACCGTTGTGTCCCACTCGGTATTACTATCATGCTCCACTCGAATTGCTCACATGCCCCACATGTATTACTATCATGCCCCACTTGTATTACTATCATGCCCCACCTGTATTACTATCATGCCCCACTTGTTTTACTATCATGCCCCACACTTAGAAAACCCTTATTCACTTTCCCATTGCACTTTGAAAGTGTATTCATTATTCAAAACTTGGTTTACACTTTCAAAATTTATGCAAAAAATCCCTATAAAAGCAACCGATTTCTCCAGAAATCGTGATTCGAGCCGAGTTCCGAGGTCGTCTGCCGGTTTTCTCTCCAGCCCCTAGTCGCGCGATGGTCACAACAGCTCCAACGCTTGGATCGTTCCCAACCCTACCTTCTGGACTAGTACAAGTTAAGTTCAACTTAACTTTGTGGGGAATGATTTTGCGCTTGGGGGAATGATTGTAGCTGGGGGAATGATTGTTCATCGGCCCCGACCTTTCTTTACAACACTTTTTTGAAAAAAAAATGCAAAAACTTTCTTTACAATACTCATTTTCGAAAAACCGCAAGAACTTTCTTTACAAAACTCATTTTTTGGAAAAAGTGCATAAACTTTATTTACAAAACCAATTTTTCGAAAAACCACACAATCTTTTGACCAAAATTTACCATATTTTTAAAAATTTGTGAATCGGTCCTTGTGAACGGGTTAAAAATTGAACAAAATAAATAACAGAAGAACTCAAACTTTATAAAAAACTAACTTAACATCTTCATCTTGTTCCATAAAAACGACAAAACTTTATTCGAATAGCTGGAAACGACAGAATATAACAGAAAATATAGATATTTCTTATTATAATTTACTTAGAGTTATATAAATTGTACAATATACTAAACTAAAAAACAATATAATATTATAGATACAGGTTGGGTCTTTGAGACCAAAAATACGTAACAATAAAAGGCTTTTTCGAGGTGAAGACATGAATCCTCAAGCACCGATGACTTGATGTTGAGATAGTTTGATGTTGAGGTAAAATCCTTGACCATATGTCCATTTTAGAGCCAAATCCTGATTGTATTACAAAGAGTAGACAAAGAATGAGGTTCTTTGTGAGACAGACAAAGGCTGACCATGTATGTTTAGACTGACCAAGGCTTGATATTTCATTCAGACTCTTCTTCAGACAAACTGAAAATTAAAAAATGTTAGTAAAACAAAAAAAAACTGTTAATACAAATTATGTCAATAGGAACACTAAACCTAATGAACAATGATTATTATAATTGGCACTCATGAAATCGCTGAAAGAGGCAAGAGAAATAAGGTGTCCCAGCCGGGTAGGTTGATATTTGTAGACAAAAAAATCTTTTGACTCCCTCCCCCCCCCCTCCCACGCACACAAAAATACGCCAGATCATATCTCCATATATGCAGAGCATAGCAAGACACAAATCGTAAAAAATTGTCAATGCCCTGCCCTCTGACCATGCCTTGGCCACAACCGCAGTCTTTAATTTTCAAATTTATTTCCAAATGTCACAAGCTTTAGTTTCAAAAACGAACAAAAAATTGCAAAAAAGTGTAAAATATAAGCAAAAAAATAGTTAAATTTAGACGAAAAAAACCACTACGACGGTTATTCTATGATTAGACACAATGTTTTAGTATGTATATGGTACCTGAATTTGGTACGTTTACCAAGTTTGGTTTGGTATTTGTGCGAAAAGACTGATCTACAGCTATTTCGAGGTTTAAAATCGTTAGAAGTTTAGACTTTGAACAAAAAAGTACAGGTTTTGGGTTGACCAAGGGTACATATTTTACAGATTTTGACTGAATTGCGATTAAAAAAAGTTAAAATTTACAGGTTTACAAGTTTTAACAATCAAATTTGCGTAGAAAGTACTGTAAGTCAATTTTTTTTGAGTACCGTAGCTAATCATATGAACCATGGGTACTGTAATTCAATTTTGTTTGAGTACTGTGTTTAATTTTTTTTTCCAAAACAAACCCCTGGGTACTGTAAGTTAAGTTTTTTGAATTTTAGTACTGCAGTTAATTATATTAACCATAGGTAATGTTTTCAATTTTCTTGACTTTGAGTACGGTAACTCATTATACTGTAATAAATGTCACATGTAACCCTTTACATTATACACCGTTTATTAACTTTTTAAAGTGTTTAAATATTAAAAATCCTTAAAATTTCAAAGTTACACTTAAAATACCTACTATAACATATGATAGTTAGTTAAAAATACAAAAAAAAGTTAAACACTTTCTAAAATACGGATTTAAAGTAGGTTAATATTGCTACAAATTCTCAAAAAATGGCCTTAAAACTAAAAAAAGTTCCAAATACTTAAGTTAATATATCCTTATATATCCTAAGTTAATGTAAAATTACAGTAAAGTTATCACACTAAATACTGTACGTTTTCCTCCATCCTAGGCTTCAGTAAGCGTATCACAATATCAAAAAATGTTGATTTACAATCAATTTTTTCGTGTTTTAAAAGCATATTATCATTATAAAACGTGCGCCATTCTTTTCGCATCAAACATTTTACCATTTTTTGACCGTAAGTTGACTTTTTGCACTCTTAACCTCAAGTTAACATAACTCAGTATAATGTTTTGCACTCTTATCCTTATATTACCATACCTCAATATAGTACTTTGTACTCTTAATCCCCAAGTTTTGAACTTTCAGTACGTTTCTACTTGACCTTCAACTAGGCTATTTTCAAAATGGCATACAAATTCGAATTTCAATTCGAATCAGCTTTAAAATTTCAAATTTGTTTCAAAATTGACCTCGAAACAAAATTTTAGAACATGACTTCAAAATTCAGAAAATTTTTTAAAATTTCAAAAAAATTCGAAATTCGAAGTTGTATGCAAATTTTGTCAAAAACTTCAAAATTATAACCTTTTTCTGCACTTGTGCTCTCCACAAAGACAATCCATCATGGCATTCTCGTCCTCGGTCAGAAACTTGTAGTCGTATGTGAGTTCAGTGCCTTTGTCAATCCACGATTTCGAGTAAATGTAGATCCGCCTAACTCCATCCACCATTTTGGTTTCGGCCGTGCAGTTGGGTTTGCATGAGTGATTGATGAAGCGGGCAGCGTTTCCCATCATTGTGGCGTCGATTACCTAAAATACGATTCAAAATGATAGAAAATAACATATTAATGGTACGGATATTATGATTAGAACCTTTCAATTTTTGAGAAAAAGGGGTGAAGATGTGTTTTAACCCTAAGGGTTTAAAATTTTATTTTTTTTAAAAAGGGATAGGTGAATATGATTGTTCGGCTTCAAAGGGTGTAGGTTTTTAGGCCAGATTTGAAAATTAATATTCAACTCGCCCTGTTCAAAAACTAAAAAATCCACACCCGCCCCTACCCCCTCCCCCCCCCCTCCTCTAAAAAGTAAAAAAATCCACCCTCAACCCCTCCCTCTTCAAAAAATAATAATCCGGCAGAACCACCACTCCCGTCTCAGAAAAATCCATCTCCGATCTAACTACCCCTCCCTTCTCTAAAAACTAAAAAATCCACGCCACCCTACCCCTCCCTGTTCCGCTCAAAAAATTAAAAAATGTTATCAAAAAATCTACCCAATCTCTGTCATAACTGAACATGTAGACCAATTTCCCCTGTTCATTATACTTCCTCTCCCTTGTTTCTGCCACTTCCATTCGAATCTCTTCCCCAATATACTCGATGATAAGTTCGCCTGGGGCGCAGGCTTCCATTACGAACAGACCCCAGCCATGAATCGCTGACAATGACACTTTGGTGATCTTTTGCCTCAGTTTTTTCGTTATATTGGCCTGATGTGAGTAGGGATCGGTGGAGTCGCTGGATTGGGAATCGTTTCTTGCGGCTTCGCGTCGCTTCGAAAAGCCACGGGATTCCGTGGATTCGTGGACTAGGGCACGGTCTTTCTGAAAATAGAGGGAAAATTAGTCAGAAATTTAAAAAAGTTTTAAAAAATTTAAAGTTTTAAAAAACGAAAAAAAGACTAAATACAAAGACGTTATTACTAATTTTTTAAAAGAAAAAAGAAGGTGTAGACCACCCTTGTCCCTTACCCAAACGTCTAAAAATTAAAAAAAAATATTTCGTTTTAAAAATTTTTTAGGTAAAAAATACACAAAATCGTTAAAATTTTTATTTTTTCGACGTTTTAAACCAAAAAAAACTTTTTATACCCATGTCAAAAAGAATTGACCATTTTCTATTGTTTTTGTTAATAAAGCTGTCCAATTCTTATTGACGAGCTTTACAACTGGCCTTGAAACACCAAAAAAGCCTTTTTAGGTAAAAAATATTATTTTTTAATAGTGATAAATCCAAAAAAAACTTAAAATTCCCCAGATTTTGAAAGAAAACGTTAGAGTTACCTAATTTTTCTCTAAAAACCGCCATAAAATTGTTAAAAACATAAAAACCACATCAAACCTTAAATAAAAAACAAGAAATTTATCTCCATAACAACTTATTAACAACATAAACACACACAAAACAAGCAGCTCACAAGCAATAAATAAATACTCAACTTATAAAAATTAACAAAGCTAAAGCTGTGCACCGTGCAAAGTCAAAAAAATGTGCTCTTTACCTTCTTTACCTAAATAAAAGTGCAAAACAAACTAAAAACCAAACAAAAATTTAAAAAATATATCAAAAGCTCCAATCTAACCACTAAAAATCAACTATTTACCAAGATTTCTTCAATCATTTTCTGAGATCGTTTGGCTTTGATTTTGTCCGAATCCTCCAGTTTGCGGTAAGGTTCGGCGCGGGCGCAGCCCGACGAAACCGGAACCACATCCCATAGTTCGGGGTCTTCAAAATAGGGTTCTGGGCGGCCCAGCTTGTAGTCGAAGCGAGCTGGTTGGGGCTGAAAATGTTGATATTAAAGGTGAAACAGCTAGTTAAAAAGATAAAAAAGCGTTTTTTCAATGTAAAAAGGCTGTTGTTAAAGGTAAAAACATTTTTCAATATATTATCCATAGATATAACTTTCAATTTTTTATAAAATTAATATTTTTTTGGTCTAAAAGTCCCTAGAATCCGCGTTTTTCCTAATTTTAACATATAACAAGTCTTACTTAGCTTTTTTAGCCTAAAACTTAGTCTTTTCTATCTACTTTTTAACCTAAATCCTTAAAAACTAACTCTAAGCCTTAATATCAAGCCTCAAAAATTAATCAAAACCTCTATATCAAGCCTCATCCTACATCATGGTCAACATCCCAACTTACAATCATTTTCATCCTGGGTGGAACACTGTGATCCCTCCAGGGGATTTGTTGTTTCCATGGGATTTCCGAAGACATTTGCTGTGCTTCGAACTGTTTTCTAATGAACTGAATATCCTCCTCGTCGAAGCCTGTCTAAAATTATTGTTTTAGGTATCAAAATGTCTCAAAATTTCATTTTTATTACCTAAAAATCGAAAAAATGACAAATTTTAACCTAAAACATCATGTTTTGGTCCAAAATAGTCTGAAAGACATGTTTTTAAGTATAAAAAATTAAGATATTCTAAATCGTTTTAGTTATAAATCGTCTAAAATCATAATTTAATTAATAAAAACCAAAAAGATTTAAAATTTAAAACCAAAAAATTGACTAAAACATCAATTTTTGAGCATAAAACTCTTCAATTCGTCAACCTAAAATTCAAGAAAACAAACAAATATTACTTACCAACATATAAGAATCAGCTACTGATATCTCCTGTTCCAAGCTCCTTCTCGGTGGCTTCTGTTTCCTCCTCTTCTCGCTAGCACTTTCCTCATCCAGCTTCCTTCTCTTGGTATCTTTTGGAGTCCTAATGATTGGTGGATCCGTCTTTCTAGGCCTGCCTGGCCGTCTCGGCTTAACCACCGGCTGTCCATCGACAAATTGACCGGTCATTTCGTATCTTGTCAGATCATAGCCAGCAATAGTTGGTGGCTGACTATTCCGTTGATATTGCTGGACTGGCGGCTGTATATTCATATGATCGTTGTGATATTCGTAAGGTTGGATGTGTATCCGTGTCTGATCCTTCATCTCCACGTCGCCATTCACCGTGATCTTTAGGTCTTCTTGAGAGTTCTCGTCGTCCTCCTTAATCCCATTCTGTTCGTACTGATACTCGGGTGGTATTGAAGAGTTTGAAGCTGCAGATTCGTGCTCACTCTTTGGTGAAACTGACATTTTACTTTCAGTACAACTTGAGACCGACCCTGAAGGCTGACGTTGTTGTAGATGATGTGGTGGATGACTAAATTCACGTTTTCGTTTGTCCACAACAGCTGCAAACTTTTGTTGTTGTTCTTTTCGGAAGGCAACAAAAGCTCTGTTGCTTTTGTCTTTGTATTTTGGGTCGATTGGTCTGACACGAGCACTTGAAGATTGAAGAACGGCACTCATCGGCCGTTCCACCGCAATACGACGATCATCACGGACTGTGGCGGTGAGGCGGGGCACTCTGAGGTTGTTTCTGGAAACAAAAGTGTTAAGGTGTGTATTTTAAATATTTTATTTTATCAAGATTCTGACTTTTTATTCTCAACCACATTTGCCTACTTCAAGATAAATAGCTCTACACCTTCGTAAAGACTCCAATTAGTAGTTTATTTTAATACGAAAAACTTAAGATACCGTATTTTACCTAAAACACTTATAAAAACTAAAAATAATAAAAAAACGTTTTTTTAAGTTTGGTCTTTGATCTCACCCATCTATACCAATTAGACAAATGCCCATAACTTCTTTTTTAACAATCAAAAACCCGTAAAATTCCACTGGAAGTAGAAGTAAACCCTAATAAAAATTCAACAAAAATTTCAGCCTTATAACAAACTCACATCCATAACAGCAAATTAATTCCTATCACCTACTACAATATATCCCTAAACCACATAAAACTCCAAATAATCTCAAACTTACTGCGACGGTAGCTTCACCGTAACTGGTAATGCATTCCTCTGGCTTGTAGCATAAGATAACGTCGTCGGTCTTATCGTAGTGGTCACGACTACCGTAGTTGGACGTCGTATTTGAGCCGTGGGCTGTCCGGCTGATGGAGACACTGTAGCTTTTGTGACAAACCACATTATCTCACCAGCACAACGCTTTTTCAACTATCTTCTGCCTAAAATTCGAATAAAATGCCAAGATTAACTCACCGTTGTTGTAGTTTGTAAATGTGCCAAAATTGTCCAAATTTGATTCGCGACGTGCACAAGACAATAATAACTCTATTTAACCTGAAAACAAGCTTTATACTTCGAAACAGTAGCATTTACAGCAAGTTTTAGCTTTCCCGCCCACCCGCTAAAAAAAGAAAAAACCGCAAAAATCGATGCGGCCGAGTAGAACCAGCCCCAAACTCAACCATCCAGAAATGTCGTACCAAATTCGCAAAATACGCTACTTTCTACAAATTTCCACCAATTCCCATCAAGTTTCATGCATTGTTACAATGTAAACAAACTCAATATTCTATAAAATTGGACGAACCGCGTTCGACGAAAAAATCCCATCCATTAGTGCGGAATGCCACGAAAAACTGAAAATCCGGCGAGTCGCGGCAGGACCCAACCGCCGAATGCGAAAAATCGATTCGGATGTTACGGTAGAGGGACGAATAAAAAACATACGAATGCATAGTAAATTGGTTATAAATAATTGCTGGAATAATGTGGAGACGAACGAGTTTGAGCATGGTTTTGGTGGAGTATAGTATAGGCGATTTTTTGATGGATAATATAATGAAAAGAAAGAAAATTCTTAACTTTTTATAAATGACACACCTTGTAGAACATACCAAACTCTTTTACAATTAGATTTATTTTAATATCAAATAGGCTTTAAAAATCGAAATTTTAAATTTTGTTCATGATTGTCTCCAAGCGGATTCGAACTTTTCTGGTTTTTCGACATTTTTAAATGAATCTAACTCGGTCAAGAAGTGAAGAACCAATCTAAAATTTTCAAAATTTATTCGAATCTGTATCTTTTATAACATTTTTAAGTTTGGTTTTTTAACTTCAAATATTAGGCCGGCTAAATAAGGGTTTTCGGTAAAATTACTGTAACTTTTAAATTCGAGCTTTAAACAAAAATGGTAAAAAATCAAAATTTCAGTGATATACATTATCGAAACCATAGCTAAATTTTTATGAAGTTATAGGCCTTAAGCTACAATATGAAGAAAGTTATAGTGTAAAAAAGTAAGGTAGCTTAGTGTTTTTTGATGTTTACCTCAATATTATTCCATTTTTTGACGAAATATAGCACTAAAATTAGATCTAATATACAAATTATGATCTTCTTTCCATTTCACAGCATAAAATACAATAAAAAATCAGTATCAAACCAGTAAACCTTCAAAAATGCCATTTATTTACACATACACCTTATATTGAGGTCTTCTCGAGACTTCTTTAGATTGTCCAAATAATTCTGAGCTCCCTCTCAAAGGAAATTTTTGGAGTTAGGAAGCACAGAATTAATCGAACAGCCTAATATATCATCATTCACAACAAAATAAATTATTAATTGTTCTTTTTGGATCCACCAAACCCGCCAATACCCATCATCTTCATGAGTTCATCGTCGACGCCCGGCTCTTCCTCCTCTTCATCGACTCTGGCCTTCTTTTTGCCTTTTTGTTCTTTTCTTTGTCGTTTCATATCAGCCAGCTTGGCTTCTTCTTCTTGAACATCTTCTTCTGCGTTGTGTTCGGCTTTTCGTTTTTCTGAGGCTTCTGTAAGTTTATTATGGATAATATGTTGTTATAGAAAGGTGACGATGTAAAAACGACAGATTTTGTAAAAAAATTTCTTGCGGTTTTTCGAAAAATGAGTTTTGTAAAAAAAGTTCTTGCGGTTTTGCGAAAAACGAGTTTTTTAAACAAAATTCTTGCGGTTTTTCAATAAATCAGTTTTATAAAGAAAGTCCTTGCAATTCGCCATAAAATATCTTGTAAAGAAAGTTCTTACCAGCATGTTTTCTCTTATTCAATCTCTCCCTAATATCATCTACTGTGCTTCTTTTGACCTTCATACTAAAGCCCATATTCCTCTGATGATTCTTGCCATTGATATGATCCAAATAATTAACCGAATCCTTCATGATACAATCACAAACATCACAGTAAAATCCGCCAGTATTCTCCGTAGTTGAAGTCTTGTTTATAACTTGTTGTTTGCCTACTACTTTGTCGAGATCCACCTAAAATAAGGTAAAATTAGAAACCGGTTAACGCTGTCCATATACTGCTACAAAGACTATAAGTTTTAAAAAAGTATGCTTAATATATTGTTTTCAAGCCTTGAAGACAATAAGACTTCTAGATCCAGGCCCAAAAGAATAAAAATTGGCCAGCAATAGCCAGTCTACCTCAATATAATCCAAACTCCTCAAAAACAGCCACCTAAACCAAGAACAATGCACTAAAAATCTCTTACCGATTCTTTTCTAGCTTCCAACAGCTTTTTAGGCGGTGGAGGTTTAGATCCATCGGGTAACAACACCTTGATCTTCTTCCCCTTCTTCGACGCTTCAGCTTCGGCCTTTTCACGTTGAGCACGTTCGTTGGCCTTTATTTCATACTCTGTCTTATCCCAAGTCTTCCTGTGATTCAATCCTTCCGCTTCTTTACCAGTTTTTTGATAAAACGACATTCTAAACATGGGTAATGTTGAAAATGGGTTTAAAATAAAGTAAAAATGAAATTATAAGAAAAATAGCTTCCAATTAAAAGCTTTTATTAAAAACTACATCCAAAAGCTTTCACAGAGCAAAATAATATGTATTTTATCAAGAAAACATCAAAAATTCCATTAAAAACACCCAAAAACTTCGTTTCTTTCAACTAAAAGAATGTTAAAAACGTGAAATTTTAGTATTTTTACCTAAAACTTATAAAAACAAATAAAAATAAACCTACTTTAAATTTTTTAAAGCCAATAGATTCAACAAACTTCAAGCTACAACAAGGAAAAGAAGGAAAATATATTTTTCGGCGAAAAAAAGATATTTCTTTAAGTTCTCCGTTGCGTCCAGGGTGCTGCAGCCTGCAAAAGACATTTTATACGATAAATGTGTTTTTTAAAAAGAGGTTTTTAAGACTAATTTAAAATAGGATATAAAGAAGAGTTTATAAACTTAAATTATAAATAAAAAAATTTTAATTATAAATTAATTTTAAATTTAAAGTTAAGCCTAAGGTCAAAAATAAGCTTAAAGCCTAGAAATAAGCCTAAAGACCAAAAATAAGCTTTCTTTTCAATAAACAACAGTTTTAAGACTACAGTAATATTGATCAAATGACACTTTCAAAAATTTCAACTAAACCTTGTGTTTTCGTACCTAATTTCACATAATTCAGCGTCACAGCGTGCCAATTGTAACAATATTTTACTATAATTGTAAAATACTAATTAACGTAATCAAAGTAGGTGTAAAGTTGGTGAAATTCTGTAAATACAACGCAAAACTGTACTGTTTGCGAGTCGTGTAGCTTTTATTTTGAGACACGTTTTAATGTTTTTTCAAAATATTGAAATTGCTATATAAGTCTGCTTGTTTTTGGTCGAGTGTAACATGGTAAATGTAAGGTATGTACGTACTTGTAGGGAGGAACGTTTAGAGTGACTTTTAGGATTTTAGGTATCAATTTAGGTTTTATATTGTAGCCCAGAGCCCTAGTTCAGAGCCCTAGTCCTAGCCGAGAGCCCTAGCCGAGAGCCCTAGCCCAGAGCGCTAGCCGAGAGCCCTAGCTCAAAGCCCTAGCTCAGAGCCCTAGCCCAGAGCCCTATCCCAGATCCTTAGCCCAGAGCCCTAGCCCAGGGCCTTAGCCCAGAGCCCTATCCCAGATCCCTAGCCCAGAGCCCTAGCCCAGGGTCTTAGCCTCAAGTCCTAGCCCAGAGCCCTAGCCCAGAGCCCTAGCCCAGAGCCCTAGCCCAGAGCCCTAGCCCAGAGCCCTAGCCCAGAGCCCTAGCCCAGAGCCCTAGCCCAGTGCCCTAGCCTAGAACCCTAGCCCAGAACCTTAGCCCAGGGACCTAACACATTGCCATGTACCTATCCATGCCTATAGCTATGCCGATTTGTTTGCTAATGTCCTAGTCTATGCTCTAGTGCATGTCCTAGACCATCTCCTTGCCTATCCACTAACCTTTGATCTAGGTTATAGCCTGCCTCATACTCTAGCCCATGCCTTAGCTCATGTCCTAACCCACGCCCTAGCGCATGTCCTAGTTCATGCGTTAGCCCATGTCCTAGCTCATGCCCTAGCCCATATCTTAGCTCACGCTTTAGCCCATGCCTTAGCACATGATCATGTTTTTCCTTACCTCTATAGCCATGCCCATGTGCTTGCCTATGTACTATCCTATGCCTTAACCCATGGTCTAGCCCTTGCCCTATCATTGACCATGTAGTTGCCAATGCTTATAACTATGCCTATTATGTATGTGAATGGCCAGTTGTCTATGCTTTAGTCTATGCCTTAGCTCATGGCCTAGTTATATGCTTTGGCTATGCTCATTCATTTGCTTATGACCTTAGTTATACAGACCCTAGTTGTACAGTAGCTTTCATATATATCCTAATTCCCTAGTTTTAACCTGCCGTTATCGTACCTCTCTCTAGCTTAAGCCTACCCTCTCTTCCTTGCCTTTTCTTTCTATCGTAAGCCATCTTTCTCTAGCCTATTTCTTGAGGGTACTGTAATACTATATGTTGAAATTTTTTGAAAATTTAAAACTTTTTTAAATTTAAAAAAATTTTTTAACCCATCTTTTCATTGCCTTCAATCCCATATTACCATAGCATTTCATTGGAAGCAATTAGGTAATCCGGGCACACATTAAGGCCGCAACGGTTGTTTTCCTAATTTGCGCGAGTACTTCGTATTACCCACCATTGGTATTGTATTAAGAGTCATTATCTCCGGGCGCCGTATTCCGACGACCTTTTGGCCAATGTGTGTAATTAGTTCAAGTCTCGCGGCCAAACACACGATCTGCTTAAGCCGGTCTTGGCATTCTTTGGGACGCCCGTAATTCGGTTAGGGTTATGGTAGAGGGCTGGATGAGAGGGATGGGTTGGGTAGGGAGAAGGAATAGGGGTAAGGAAGAGTAGGATCAGATAAGTAAGTGGCACGTCAGTATAAGGATGGGGGATTTGTTAGAGTAATGGTAACGCCAAATAAGAGGGGACGGCTGAGAAAGGAAGAGGGGAAGGGGGGAGGGTGGGGTTAGGTAAAGTAGGGTAAGATTGTAAGATACGTAAGTAAAATGGTAGGGTATGTTAGATAGCTTACACCTTGAATCAATGGGGTAGGGTAGGGTGTGTAATTTTCAAAAAATGACTTTTGTGAAGAAAGTTCTTGCAGTTTTTTGAAAAATGATTGTTGTAAAGGAAGTTCTTGCGATTTTTAAAAAATGAGACTTGTAAAGAAAGTCCTTGCGGTTTTTTGAAAAATTAGTTTTGGAAAGAAAGTTCTTGCGGTTTTTCAAAAAATGGGTTTTGTAAAGTAAGTTCTTGCAGTTTTTCAAAAAATGAATTTTATAAAGAAAGTTTTTGCGGTTTTAAAAAAATTGTAAACAAAGTTCTCGCTTTCACAAACCAAAGTTTCAAAACAGTTTCAGTCCTCCACCCCCTTCCTCGCTCAAACACAGTTATAGACAGTAGTTGGTCGAGTGTTTAGTACAATATTTACCTATAAATTCCTGATTTCGAGGCCACTTGACCGCGGAGTCATGGATATAATGTTATTATAGTATACAACTGAACAAGTTTTAGAGAGCACAAGTACCTGCGCAAAGTTTATATTCGGTCTTATAAGGCAATTCGGCGGTAGTCGAATCAAATTTATAGACTTATGTTAGGTTGGTTTGACATGAGTGGGGTAGTTGAGAGGGGGGAGGGGGTGAAGTGAAGTAGGGGGGGGTAAAAAAAAAGGGAGGGGGGGGAGGAGAGGGTGGGGTGAAAAAGAGGGGGGGGTTGTGAAGTGAAGTTGGGGGGGGAAGGGGGGGGTTGAGGCTGAGCGGGTGGAGTTGTATACATGATTCAGAAAGGGCGTGGTAAAGTGAAAAAGAGTAGGAAACGGTTAGGGGAGGTGGTAAAGAGAAAGAGGAGGAGGAAGGTGATGGTAAACGATTGGAGAATTTGAATAGGGGGGGGGGGGTTAAAAGACAAAAACATAATAAATAAAAGGAAAAAAATCATTTTTAGTTCAATTTTCAAAAAGTTGTTGCTGAGAATTCAAAAAAATTGAAAAATAGGGGTACGGTACACTTACTGTAACGAAAAATACTGCAAATTTTTAAACTCTTTTTGTAATATCTACTAGAACACAAAGTAATCTATCATTCTACAAATTTGTAGAACTATATCTACATTTAAAAGTATTCTAAACATGATTTAAAAATATCGAAAATCAAAAAAAATTTTTTTGGAGGGGGAAGGAAAGTTAAAATTTTTAAAAATTAAAAAAAATGAACAGTAGGACTCTAAGTTCAACATTTTCTGTTAAAAAAAATTTTTTTGAGGGGTGGCGGGGTAAATTTTTTTTCAATTTTGGTTAGGAGTGAGCGGGGAAGAATGCAATTTTTAAATATATTTTCATTAACTCTCCCTATTACCTCACTTGCAATCTATTAAGCTTCTTTTCCTTTTGCGCGAAACAAAACATCCTACCGTAACCCCCTTTCCCCCCCCCTGCCCACTGGTTTTTCCCGCATTCGAACGAATCATGTCTTTTGTCTCGCCCACTCGACGTTATTGTTCGTCGTGTGCGACTGGTCGAGTGGATCGTATTCTAAAAGTGTCACAATACGATTAGGCGAGGACATAATGTGAAATTGACCCTGCCGGTTAATAATGTTAGAATCATTATGTTATTGTAGGGGTGAAGTCATTAGTTACATATAGAGAGGGGAAGGGGGGGGAGGGTGGAGAAGGGAACGAGAAAGTTGGGATATGGGATAGGCTAGAACAGGGTAGGGTAGAAAAACGGCGGAGGAAGGGGGGGGAGGGGGAGGTTATTAAAAAATGAAAAAATTTTTGTAAACAAAGTTCTTGCCGTTGTTCCAAAAATGGGTTTTAGGTAAAAGTTATTGCCGTTTTTGGTACCAAACATCATATAACATGTTCCCGGCAGCCTGCAAAACTTTATTTTTAGCTAAATAAGGCATATTAGCTGTTGTAAAGGAAGTTCTTGCGGTTTTCTTTAAAAATACGTTTTGTAAACAAAGTTCTTGCAGTTTTTAAAAAAAAAGTTTTGTAAAGAAAGTTCTTGCGGTTTTTGTAAAACGTTTATCTTGTAAACAAAGTTTTTGTCATTTTTCAAAAAATTGAACTTTGTACACAATAGCGTCATAAAAAATAGTTTTTTGTAAAGAAACTTCTAGCACCATTCGTGACTCAGCATTTCTCAATTACTGTAAGCAACCTTTATGTCATACCATGATTGAGTTATGGTATTGTAGTCGTTACATTACCCGTTACTAGAAACTGTAGTATTAGACATGACAAATGTACAATGCGAAGTACAATACTCGTTCGGATTATTTTAAAGTGGCGTGCTGTCCAATCCCTAAGCTTATATTATGTTAGCATAACATCACATGAGCTACAATAATGTAAATTTTGTGAAACTCGAGGTCAAAAATGAATGATCAATTCCCGAAAACGCAAGGAATTTCTTTACAAATTACATTTTACTAAGAATGGCATGGACTTTGGTTCTAAAGGTTGTCGTTCTAAAAATAGAAAGAACTTTCTTTCCAAATTATAAGAAATGACTAGACTTGTAAAGGGGATGGGCCGAGTGGGCTCTCTTTCAGGTCTAGACGTGACGAATGTGTCAGACCTTAAAAACTTGGCCTAGATCAATGTTCATAACTACATTTTTTGATAAACCGCAAGAATTTTCTTTACAAAACCCATTTTTTAAAAACCGCAAGATATTTCTTTACAACAGTTAATATGCTCTATTTTAACCAAAATAAGATTCTGCAGGCTGCGGGTGACATGTTATACGACGAAAAGGCAAGTATGTCAATGACATTAAAAAAGAACTTTCTTTCCAAAACAAATTTTTTAAAAAATCGCAAGAATTTTCTTTACAAAATTCATTTTATAAAAAACGGCAAGAACTTTCTTTACAAACTTTATTTTTTTGAACAACCGCAAGAACTTTCTTTACAAAACTCATTTTATGAAAAACCGCAAAAACTTTCTTTTCAAAAAACATTTTTTGAAAAATCGCAAGAACTTTCTTTACAAATGTCATTTTTTATAAAAACCGCAAGAACTTTCTTTACAAACTTTATTTTTTTGAACAACCGCAGGAACTTTCTTTAGAAAACTCATTTTTCGAAAAACCGCAAGAACTTTCTTTACAAAACTCAAGTTTCAAAAAACCGCAAGAACTTTCTTTACAAAACTCATTTTTCGAAAAACCGCAAGAACTTTCTTTCCACTTTCAAGTCTTCAAGCCTCCAATTTTACAAACCTCATATACAAATTTACAAAAACTTTGTTTACACCGTTCTCCCCCCCCCCTCCAATAAAGCTACGTGTTCCAGACAAACATGACATGCTACGGTATGTGCGTTTTCTAACTTTACAAAACCGAATTGATCTCTGTTTGTTACTCGAAGGCTCTAATTTCGCCCTAATTGAGTACTTTTCGGCTACAAATTGCGTCAAGTTGCGTGACACTGGGCGTGAAACGTACATATATATATTGTGTCGATTTAAAACCTGCCCCGCCGCGTTACAATGAGCCAATGTTGTCGGGAATGGGACAAGTTCGAGCGGAGGTTACGGTGACCTTTGCGGTGGAATTTTTTTTAAATTATGTAGTTTTTTAAACGGAATTTTGCTTGGGGGTGTTTTTTACATAAATTATGCTAGGGCGGTTTTTTTAATTGTATATTGCTAGAGGGTGGATTTTAATTATAATTTTTTAAGGAGATGTTTTTTTAAACGGAATTGTAGTAGGGGGTGTCTTTACTTGAATTTTTCTAGGGGGTGTTTTTTAAATTGAATTTTGCTAAGGGGGTGGATTTTTGATAGAATTTTGCTAGGGGATGGATTTTATATTGAATTTTGCTAAGGGGTGTTTTTAATTGAATTTTGATAGGGGGTGGATTTTAAATTGAATTACGTGTGCTGATGTAGTTTTATACACAGAGTTTTGCTAGGGGTGGGTTTTGCAATTGAGTTTTGTTAGCGGGTGCTTTTTAATTAACTTTTGATAGGGGTGTTCTTTAAGTCGATTTTTGACAGGGGGTGTGTGGGCTGAAACTAAGGCTAAAGTTAAGACTAAGGCTCCAGGCTCAGGCTTAGGCTCAGGCTCAGGCTCAGGCTTACGCTCAGGCTCAGGCTCAAGCTCAGGCTAAGGCTCAATCTTTTAGTTTTAGTCGTTTACATATTGTAAACTACTACTTATAACCCAACCCAACGTACGTACATGTTGTTGTTCCGTATTTTCTGAGCTCATGTCTCGTTTATTACAACAACATGTACATTTTTACAGAGTAACAAACCGCAGTTTTCCTCGATTGCACTTTTAGCTGTTGTTGTTCCATGTTTTGTCACGCAATCAGTTTAAAGACCTAATTGTGATTACTTAAATTGGCGGTTTTAAAAACTGGGAATTGTAAAATACGAGTTTGGATATACACTTTCGAAAAACCGCAAGAACTTTCTTTACAAAGCTCATTTTTTCAAAAATCGCAAGAACTTTCTTTACAAAACTAATTTTTCTAAAAACCGCAAGAACTTTCTTTCCGAAACTCATTTTTCAAAAAACCGCAAAAACTTTCTTTCCAGTTGAAAACATAACTTAAGCTTAATTTCTTAATGTGAACGCTCGTGGACGTGATTCTGTATCTTCTGAGTCCCCTATACCAATATTATACTACCTTACTTTCCAGACAAGAACCATGTTTCCTCAAGACAATAAGCCAATGTTCAACCTGAACAACCCGTCAACCTCCTTCACCTCAACCTCCAGTTCGCTATCAACATCTTCATCTACAGTGCCATCCAATTTCAATCCATTTCAACTGATAATGCAGCTGAAGCAGGCGGAGAACTTGAGAAATGCCCAGAACAATATCTTCAACCGGTCGAATTCGATATTCCCTGTGACTCAGCCGAACATTGACCAGTTCAAAATGCTGCAACAGTTCAACATGATGAAGGTGATGATGATGATGAACCAGAACCAACACAACAACAGTTTTGAGAGGCTGGAATTAAGGATTGGGGCTAGACTATTGAAGTTGAGGAGAACTGAGGATTGTGATGGTAAGTGGCAAAATTGTTTTTAATATGTTAGCTTTTAAGCCTAGTAAGTTTAAGTTTAATCTAGTGAGTTTTTAAGCCTATGTTAGTAAATTTAAGCATTTTATAATATTTTTAGGCCTTACGTAGTAAGTGTAACCTTAGGCTATTAAACTAAAATTTAGTCTAGTAAGTTCACGCATGGCCTATTCAGTCTAAGCCTAGCCTTGTACGTTTGATCTTTACCTAGAAAATTTAATCTTAATCTAGTAAGTTTAGGCATAGCCTAGTGATTTTAAGCCTAGCGTTGTCATTTTAAGTCTAGCCTAGCCCAATAGGTTTAAGGCTAGCCTAGTAAGCTGAAGTCAAGGCTAGTAAGTTTCATCTTAGCCTAGTTAGCTTAAGCTTAGCTGAGTAAGTTTAATCTAGTATAGTAACTTTAAGCTTAGCTTAATAATTTTAAGTTTTGCCGAGTAAGCTTAAACCCGGCTATTAAGTTTAAGCCTAGCCTAGTAAGTTTAAGCCTAGCCGGGTAAGGTTAATAAGCCTAGTATAGTAAGTTTAAGCATAGCCTAGTAAGCTTAAGCCTAGCCGAGTAAGTTTAAGCCTAGTCTAGTAAGTTTAGGCTTAGCCTAGTAAGTTTAAGCCTAGCTTAACAACTTTCAGCTTAGCCGAGTAAGTTTAAGCTTAGTATAGTAAGTTTAAGCCTGGTCTAGTAAGTTTAAGCCTAGCCTAGTAAGTTTAAGCCTAGTCTAGTAAGCTTAAGCGTAGCCTAATTAGTTTAATATTAGCCCAGTAAGTTAGAGCCTCGTTTAAGTTTTGTCTTGCCATACGTTTAAGCCTAACCTAATAGCCGTAAGCCGCTCCTAGTAAGTTTGATTCTAGCCTAGTAAGTTGAAACCCTAAGCCTATTAAGCATAAGTTTAATAAGCCCAAGCTTATTAAGTTCAAAAAACAGCATACTAATGTTAATGTTTTCAGCTTTAACAAACGCTCGCCTTATAAACGATGAAAAAACCTTGATCTACAGCGTTCTCCAATCAGGAGTCTCATACCACGTAGTAACCTTCAATGGCGGTGAAACATTGCATTGCGGTGAAATCCTGGACATCAATACCAACATTATCAACCTACTCGAACGTTCATTCGACCCAAACCTTCGTCTAGCCAATGGTCAATGCGTGGTTATTCGAATAATCGAGCCTGGAGACGAATTGACATTGGAAAGTCAGTTGGATACTGACACCAGCTCCGAGACCACGGCTACACCAGTCAAGGAGTTTAAGGATTTCAAGGATGTAAACGAGTTCTTGAGGTCACCGTTGATGCCCAAGGGTAGTCGACGGCAGGTTATGAGTTTGGAAGGTAAGTTACGTTCTAGTGGGTGTTACATGTTACAGTTAGGGCTAAGAGGGGGAGAGAGAGGAGACGGTTGAGCTTGAAGTAACGGGAAGGCTAGTCAGGGTAGATTAGTAAGAATAAGGTGAGGGTGAAAAGGGACCGGATGAGATTAACGCTAATAAACCTAAGTCTATCAAGCAAGCTAATCTCAGTCTAAGCCTACTAAACCCTAATTCTTCGTATCTAAAGCATCTTAAGCCTAAACCTACTAAGCCTAACCCTACTAAGCCTAATACTACTAATCTTAAGACTACTAAGTCTAATAATGCTAAGCTAAAACTACTAAGCCTTAGCTTGATAAACCCAACTCTACTAAGCCCGAGCCTACTAAGCATAGGCCTACTAAGCCTAAGCCTACTAAGCCTACGCCTACTAAACCTAAGCCTACTAAGTCTTAGCCTGCTAAGCCTATACCTACTTTGAAACTTTACTAAAAATTAGCCGTTCTGGCTTAAGCCTACTATGCCTAAGCCTACTAAGTCTAAGCTTTCTAAGCATACTTTGACTAAGTCTATTAAGCCTAAGCTTACTAATCCTAAGCCCACTAAGTCTTAGCCTGCTAAGCCTATACCTACTTTGACTAAATCTATTATACTAAGCCTGCTAAACCTAAGCCTAGTAAAATTAGGCATACTCAGAGCCATAAAGTTATAAATTTTTCAAGTTTCAGACACAATATCTCCTCCCGAACTTCCATCCGAAAAGGGCTATCAATGTGAACGTTGTGGTAAAATGTTCTCCTACGCCTATTACCGCGACAAACATCTGAAATACACAAGATGTGTTGACAATGGTGATCGCAAGTTCCCTTGCGATCTGTGTAATCGATCATTCGAGAAGAGGGATCGACTGAGAATTCATGTACTACACGTTCATGAAAACCACCGTCCTCACGTTTGCAACATTTGTGGAAAGGCGTTCTCACAGAGCAGCAGCTTGAATAAGGTAGGTTTGTATTGGCATATTATAACAAGGAAAAGGCATGGAATGGCAAGAACTTTCTTTACAAAACAATAAATGACACACGTTACACAATTTTTTGTTCAAATGGCAAAAACTTTCTTTACAAAACAAGAAATAGCAAGAACTTTCTCTACAAGCTAAAAAATAGCAAGAATTTTCTTTACAAATCCTTTAATTGCGGAAGACATGATATACGATGAGAATAAGTAAATAGCAATAACTTTCTTTACAGAACAAAAAATTGCAAGAACTTTCTTTACAAAACAAAAATTGCAAGAACTTTCTTTACAAAAATATATTCAGTACATTAAATAACCTTCAAAAGTGTAGTAACTACACACATTAATTTATTCAACTAATGTCCAAGTAACCAGTGTTTTTGATGTTTATCTTTGAAAACATGAAAAAGAAAATGAACTTTTATAATTTTAAACGTTCTGCACGCAAAACGTGACTTTTTCGGAATGAAAATTTAATTGAAAGGTTATGGTAACTTCATGGGATTTTTGAAGGTTCAGTAAGAGCTGTTGTAAAGAAAGTTCTTGCGGTTTTCGAGAATATAAGTTTTGTAAAGAAAGTTATTGCAGTTTTTGAAAAAATAGGCTTTGTAAAAAATGTTATTGCCAATTTCGTTTTACGGCCAAGCGGTATTTTGTAAAATGTGCGTATAACTTGTCTTTCGCAGCCTGCAGAAGCGTTTTTAGTCCAAAAGAAGCCGTTTTAAAGCTTGTAAAGAAAGTTCTTGCTATTTTCTTTTTTTGTAAAGAAAGTTCCTGCCATTTCTTGTTTTGTAAAGAAAGTTCTTGCTATTTTTGGTTTTGTAAAGAAATTTCTTGCCATTTTTATCATTATTTCAAATTCCCATTTTAAAATATCAAATTTCAGCACCTCCGCGTCCACTCCGGCGAACGTCCCTACAAATGTCCATACTGTACCAAGTCGTTCACGGCCAGCTCCATTCTTCGTACTCACATCCGTCAGCACAGTGGTGAGAAGCCGTTCAAGTGCACATTCTGTGGCAAGTCCTTTGCTTCACACGCTGCTCACGACAGCCACGTTCGCCGAACTCATACTATTCTGGACTCGATGCATTCATGTGCACGATGCGACAAGCGATTCGAGAATGCTTATCATCTCGAGTTTCATATGGAGACGGTACATCGTGAGCCCAAAATTGAGGTTGGAATTTAAGTTTTGAGGAAGTTTTTTTGAAGAGTTATCTTTGTGATTTGTTGTTTAACATTAATGAAGAATAATATATGTCTCCACTGATTGCTTCTTTAGATAATATTTGTCAATTTATACTACTGTGGAGCTCTACTGTATAACAAAACCCCTTTATAACGAAACAAAATTTTAGTCAATTGAAGTCTAGTTACTATGTTTTTATGAACTTTGTTTTACTTTTATATTATATTGTGAAACTTTCATTTATATACATCATGATTAATATTCAGCCAATTTTACTCCCCACTCACTACAATATTTGTACTAAATAAACAATTAATTATTTTGAAATTACGAAACTGAATTGTTTAAATTTTTATATCAAAGTTCATTTGAAATTGGCACATTAAAGTTTACAGAACAAAAAAGTGTTGCTTTATGACCTACAAAGACGAATTCGCAGGCTGCGGAGGTCGTTTTATACGTTGGTTTAACAAAAATTTTTTACAAACAAGAAACAACGAGGACTTTCTTTACAAGTTAAAAAATGACAAGGACTTTCTTTAAAAAAGAAAAAACTTCACTTTTCGTATAATTCTCACCCGCAGGCTGCGAAAGTCTCAAGTTACCTAATTTTTTGTTCAAATGGCAAAAACTTTCTTTACAAGTTTAAAAATGGCCCTTTTCGTAAAACGTGTCACCCGTAGACAGCGAAAGGCAGAAGTCACTTAATTTTTTATTCAAAATGCAATAACTTTCTTTACAAAGCAAAAAACGGCAAAAACTTTATTTATCAGCTAAGCATTGCAAAAACTTTATTTACACAACTGAAAATGGCAACAAGTTTCTTTACAAAACTTTTTACCAAATCAAAAAGAAATATCAATGATAACATCAATCCCTCATGCCCGTGATATCAGCGTCCTTCTTCTGTGATGAGGTAGTGGCTTTATTGGGCTTGGGTTCATCGATCTCTTCAGGATAATATAGGTACTCTGCTAATCGTTGATCGTGCTTCTTCTCCATGATTACTCGATAGATAATGGTCCCGATGTACAACAAAGTAATAAAGCTGCCGTGTAGTAGCAAGTTGGCGAAAATCTGAACATGAGATAAAAAATGGCAAGAACTTTTTTTACAAAGCAAAAAATAGCAAGAACTTTCTTTACAGAACATAAAATGGCAAGAAATTTCTTTGCAAAACTTAAAATGACAAGAACTTTCTTTACAATACAAAAAATAGCAAGAACTTTCTTTACAAACTAAAAAATCGCAAGAACTTTCTTTACAAAACCCTAAATTTCAAAAAATGACTTACATTTTCGGTACTCACAGGACAAGCAATCCAGGCATCCCAACTGTCAGCAACAACCATGTTCACCTTCTTTTGATAATTTTAAAATAAAAAAAATTTTTTTTAATTTCAATTTTTTTAAATGTCATTTTTTCTTTTTTTCAATTTTGAACCACAATTTTCTCCGTTTCAAACTCAAATTTCCCGCCAAATTTTCAAATCCAAATTTTCCCGCCAAAAACCTTTTGATTTATTAAAACTGTATAAGCATGATATTATAAAAGAATTCGATTACAAAAATCAATTAGATGCTGTTAGAAAAGACTATAATTGTGTTTGGAGTAAGTTTGAGTTGTGTGTTGGCCATGAATTGGTGGGTTACAACCGTGGTTGTATGACAGGATGGATAATATTGAGTTAGACTACAATTGTCTATAGATCTTGTAAGTTCGTTTAAGTTTGGATTGATGTGTTGAGTCTTGGATGGTGTTTTCTTGAAACGTTAGTTGTTATAGCATTCATAAGTTTGATCTTATTAATATTATTGGGAAAGCCGGTATTAGGCGAATGTACCTAACATAATATGGCTCTGTAAGCCATAATATGGCTCTATATGCCAAAATATGGTTCTATATTTGACATACTGTGAGAAAATACGCCAATAAAATGCATTTTTGACATCTTACATAAAAAATGTCATTTTATGACATTCTGATGACAGAAAACATAAAAATTCAAAAAATATAACTAAAATTAACTACAGTAACCCTAAAATACTAAAAATTTAAAAAATAATCTTTACAGTACTGTAAAACCTTTTAAAATTTAAAAAAGACCTTGAATCAGTGCTAAATTTCAAATATATTCTAGTACTAACCTTAGAAAGCTCATAGTACCAAATTGAAAACAAACCAAAAATGACGTTTTTAAGCCTACTGTACTCAAAAACATCTTATTTAAAAAAATTTTAAAACTTTTCGAAATTCGATTACCGTCAAAGTGCAAAAATTGTATATGTGCGTGTAATGTGAGGTGATGGGTTGCGTGCAAATGTTTTAAAAAACATTCGTGTATAAATGAAAATGTAAACAAGCAGGTGTATTCTAAACGCGGTGCAAATGTGTGGTGGGATGTTTGGGTATTAAAACGTAATGCATGTTAGAATCAATGATATTCACCATGATATGTTACTGAAAACTTGATGTTGTGAATGTAAAATTATTCTTTGTAGTGCATAATAGTGACCAAAGTGTAGCTAAAAGACTGTAGAATATGTGAAAAAACCAATTAGACTACTAGCTTTACAAAAATATTCGTTAAAATGGCAGAAACATCAGAAAATACAAGGAAATCTATGATAATATCCAAATAATACGTAGAATCAAAGTGTAAATCAAACGCTAGCTAAAAAACAACAATCTAGTTGATTGGTACTGTTTGGGACTTGCTAATCCTAGCCTGGGACCGCATTCTGATCAAACTGTGTTCAGCAACATCCGCTCGTTCCTCCGCATTGTCCAGCTGAACTTGCATTTGGCGGTACTTTTGCAGGTTGATGTTGGCTGCTTCTTCCTGAAATTTCACACAATTAACAACATTGTTATAACTCAAATTTATACTCATTAGAAAGCCCAGAATCTACGCTACACAATGATATAAAAATCCCTTACAGCATCGTCGATTTGTCGCCGTTGCAACTTGATCTTTCCTTGCAGCTTCTCCACCAAGTCCACCAATTTGTTGCAGTTCTTGCGTTCCTCCTCCAATTCGAAGGTGGTTTCGCGAGTGCGACGTTCGGCTTTGCCTAGGTTCTTGGCAGCATCAGCGTGACGTCTGGCTTCGGTTTCGAGCTCGGTTTCGATCTGCTTGAGTTGTTGTTCAAGCTTGCCAACGACGCGAAGACCTCCCTTCAAGGCGGACTGTTCGGCTTCGTCAATTCGGGATTGCATTTCCTAAAACATGATTTTAGATCAATAAAATGTAAGTTATCATGAGCAAATATTATTTTATCCATTAAACACAATTTTCCCATAAAAGACATTTTATACGATGAAAGGGGGCCAGCTCGAAAAATTTTAAAATAAAAATTTGGAAGTTTGACCCCTTCAAAACTATTGTAGAATGCTCTGCTGGATCTCTTTCAACTATCTTCAACTCAAAACAGTAAGTTTTCTCTTATTTTTATATGTTTCTTTAATTTTTAGAATGCACTCGGTTTTAGAGGTCTATGATAATATAATTTTGACCATAACAACGCTAAACTGAACTAAAAACGTCGTAAAAACTAAAAATAAGGGCAAATATTAACTAAAAATAATGAAAATAACATAAAGCTGCTTAAAGAAGAAGGCATACCTTTCCAGTGAAGAATTTGGTCTCTTCGACCTTGTTCAGGGAGTTGCACAAGCCCTAGAAATAAACAAAAACGTAGGAGGAACATAAAAATTGAACTCAAAAATAGATGTAAAATACGGTCGTAGGTCTAATACTTAATAAAACTATAAAAATTGTCCAAATAAAGTAAAAAACATCAGGAAAACATAAAAGAAACCAAGGATAATATAAAATTTTGCCGCAAAACCGAGTGCACTCTCTGGAATCTGCCTTTTCTTGGCGTAACTTTAAATTTTTTTGTTGTATCTTGTAAAAATCTTGTAGCTAAGATTCTGAAGAACGTTTTAAAACTAAAATTCACCACAATAACTTATGATATTCAACTAAACCATCTTGTTTTTATAAAGTGCACTCCATTTTGAGGATAAAATTTTAGAAGTCGGAAGCTTGGGTTTTTACTAATCCTTTGCCATTTTATATCGAAAACATGTTGTAAAGGCACAAAAATAGTAAAAACATTGTGTTTGGCATCTCTTTTTCCAGGTAAAACATCAAAAACCTTGTTTTAGCTTCGTCGACCAGACAATGTTAGTCAGGGATGATGGGTTAGTCAAAAATAAACTTAAAATAAATAACTGTCTTTACCTTGACTTGGAATTCTAAACTCTTGCGGATTCTGTCGACTTGGTTCGAGCGGTCTTGTTCGTTACGCAACTCTTCGGCCAAGTGGGCGGCTTCTGAAGCGGCACGTTTGCCACGCTCCATCGCGGCGCTGACTTCGGCGGTGGCTTCGGAGACGTCGGACTGGAAAATATTAGATTGTAAATTGTTATCAAGCAATATTTCAACCATAAGGTAATTAAAAACTTAATTTTTAGCAATTTATTACCTAAAATTCAAGGTTTTTCTCGGTTTTTGCGTTAAAAACACCGATTTTTAGGTATAAACCAAGACTTTTCTTTAAAATTTAAAAAGCCAACTAATCGTTAACTTTTTGATGTTATCTTACTCTAAGCAATGCCAATTCAGCCTCGAATTTGGCACGGGCTGTGGCCAAGGCTTGGTTGTCCGAGAGCAAATCGTTGTTGGAGATTTGAAGGTCGTTCAAGTCGGATTCGAGCTGTTTCTTGGCACGTTGGAGCTAAAATAATATTGTTTGTAGTTTTCGAATTGTTATCCTAAATTTGAAGAGTATATTCATAGCTTTTTTGGTCGAAATGGTTGATATTGAGTTAGGTATAGCTCTTTGAAATAAGAAACTTCAATATTGTGTTAGCTTTTCTAGCTTTAAATGGCTATAGTTTATAAATTTAGATAAAGAATGACTTGTTCTTCCTCATAGTTATTGGTTTTCTTAAAAAACGACCGTTTTCGGTCGATTGTTAGACAAACTTTAAACTTGAAACTTACAGCCTCAATCTGTGAGAACAACTCCTCGTGCTCTTGCTTGGAAGTGATCAACTTCTTCTCGGTGGTCAAGTAATTCTCTCTGAATTCCTCACGTCTTCGCTGTTCTTCGTCAATGTTATCGTGAAGGTCCTTCACTTGTTCGTTGTAGCGTTTCACGTTCCTTTGGGCGTCGTCGTTGGCCTTTGTGGCGTGATCCAGTGCGATTTCAAGTTCCTTAAAATACTTAATTAGTCCCACGTTCTAGTCATTGTCCCTCGTGCCCCTGAATTGGAATCGGTTTTACTCACGCTGATGTCGGCTTCGAGCTTCTTCTTCAGACGCATGAGTTCGGCCTTGGCCTTGACCTCTTGTTCGAGTGTGGCCTGCATCGAGTCCATGGCACGTTGGTGGTTTTTGCGGGTATTTTCGAATTCTTCCTCTTTTTCTTGGAGTCGTTTCTCGATTTCGGATCTGATTTGACTGATTTCGACTTGGCTTCTGAGGACCTTCGATTCTTCGGCTTCTAATGCGGCTTCGGCCTCATCTAAGGCGTGTTGGAGCTCGTCCTTCTCGACTTCCAAACGGCGTTGAGCCTTCTGGAGCTCATGAATAAGTCTGGCGCCTTCGTTGAGTTGTTCTTGAAGATCTCTGGCTTCTTGGCCAAGGACCTTGTTCTCTCTTCTCAGACCTTCAACTTGTTCGGTCAAGCTGTCTTGAGCCGACTGAAGTCTGTGCGCCTCCATGGCCTTGGTTCTGGCTTCACGTTGAGCGGCGTCGAGTTCGTTCTGAAGATCGTCAGCTTTGTGTCTCCATTCATCGACAATCTTATCAAAGGCTCTCTGCTTCTTATCGAGTTGAGCTGCTTGTTGTTGTAGTAGGTCACATTCAGTTCTGGCGGCATCTGCTTCGTTCGTGAGCCTTGCCTTTTGTTTTTCGAGGTTAGCCAAACGTACGCTAGCCGAGTCCAGTTCGTTTTGGAGTTCGGCGATTTGAGCGATCTGTTTGCGACGGATTTCATCGGCATCGTCGGCCGAGACCATGCCCTCGGACTCGTAGCGGCTTCTCCATTGTTCGATTTCACCTTGTTCGCGAGCTAGTTGACGTAACAAGTCGGATTTGCCAGCGATCTCCTCTTCCAATGAGTCGCGGATTTGGTCAAGTTCGTGTTCGAGGTTCTTGGACATGATGTTGAGGGATTGACGTTGGCGAGTCTCTTCGGCGGCCAAGCGTTTGAACTCCTCGGCTTGGGCCGAGTATTGGGCCTTCAGACGGGTTGTGGCCGTGATTTGGGCTTCGAGCTCTTCAACGTTCCTACACAATTCACCGTTGTCACTTTGGAGGCGTGATTTGGCAGCTCCGATGTCACGGATGAGACGTTGTTGCTCTTCGTTCTTCAGTCTTAGCTCCACCAGTTGGGCTTCGAATTGCTTGGCGTTTCTTTCATATTCGACACGTTGTTTGGCTTCATCGTCAAGGGTGTATGTGGCTTCATCAAGTTGCTTCTGGAGTTGAGCTCGCTCCTTGTCGGCACGGTTGCGAGCTCTCATGATGTTCTCGATTTGTTCGGTCAACTCGAGTGTAGCGTCTTGACCCTTCTTCTTGAGGGCCTGAGATTGGGACTCGAAGTTCATCTTCAACTGGTCGATTTCACGTCTCAGTTTGGCTAGCTCGTTGTCACGTTTCTTGTTCGCGTCCATCTGTTGCATTGTGGCTCCGGATTGTTGGTTCAACTGTTCGTGGAGTTCGTCGATTTCTTGTTGAAGTTCGGTTTTGGAACGTTCGGAACGAGCGCGGGCTTGACGTTCCGACTCGACTTCGGACTCGAGCTCCTTAATTCTGTTTTCGTTGTCCTTGAGTTGACGTTGAAGTTTGGCAGCGTTGGTTTGGGCATCTTCGTGCTTGACGGAGATGGAGAAGAGGTCGGCCTCTTTCTTTCTCAGACTGTTTTCAGCGTCAGTCTTCTGTTTGGATACCTCATCCAGGTTCTCGTGAGCGATACGAAGTTCACCTTCGAGCTTTCTCTTGGCACGCTCGGTGTCGGCACGTACTCGACGTTCTCTGTCCAAGTCCGACTCGATTGTCTCCAATGTGTCCAAGAGTTTTTTGCGCAAAAGTTGTTCGGATTGAGCTCTGTCTTCTTCTCCTTGCATGTCTTCCTGGAACTTCTTGTTGATCTCTTCCTGTTGCTTCTTCTCCTTCTCCAGCTTGGCCAATGTCATTTCTTGGCGTTGGAGTTCGTCTTCGATGGATCTTATTTGATTCTCTTTGGCTTGCTTCTCTGACTCCGCCTTCTTCAGTGCCAATTCCATTTCAGTTGTCTTCTTCTTCAGTACGTCGCACTCTTGTTCGGCTTTCTTGCGATTCTGTTGCAGCGATGCGGTATGATTCTCAGCATTCTGAAGCTGGTTTCCTAGATCCTCCAACGACTTGTGAAGGCGTTCCTTGGCTTCAGTCAAGCCTTCAAGTCTTTCTTGTACCTCTTGAGTCTTGCCTACAGCTCCTTCCATGGACTTGAGAAGCTCGTCACGTTCCTCTTTCATTCTCTTTGTCTCCTCCTCCAAGCGTTGACGAGTCTCGGTTTCCTTGACCAACGCATCTTGAGTTTTGACAATGTCTTCTTGAGCCTTCTCCAACAGTTCGGCTTCTTTGCCGGCTTCCAATAAAGGCTTGACCTTGCCGTACAGCTTCATCCATACCCAGGTACGGAGCTCCAACCAAGAGCGGATGTTGCGTTGGATGACATAGATGAGCTCTTGTTGGGCTCGAAGGTCCTTGGCTTTGATCTGGAGGGAATTTCAAGTTTTTTGGGGTTGGGATGGGATGGAAATGGCAAAAATGGTTTAAAAATATTAATAAAAATTTTTTTAAATTTAAAATTTTCAAATTAAAATCAAAATTTTTGACTAAAAATTCAAAAAATTTTAAATTTCCCGCATTTAAACTCAAAATTCAACTATTCCCCCCTCTTACCAATCCACAATACCATCGGCATTCGGCCTGGAAGGCGCTGATCAATCGGTTCAGCTTCCTGTCTCTCAAGTCTTCAATATGAGCTACAACACCAGCTTTGAAGAAGACTTTGGTCATTCCAACTCTGAACATGTCTTCCTCAAGGTCCTTGGCATCGACCAACTTCTTCAGCATAGCATCCACACACGTCTTAATGTCCTTGTTACTCTTGGCCTGGTCGGCGGCTAGCAAGGCGTAGCGTTGAACAAAATCGGCGTGGAGGGTTCTGTTCGGGAAACCTTTACGACAGATACGAATACCTTCGAGTACACCGTTACAGGTGAGCTGGTTCATGACTAGAGCGGCATCCAGAAGACCGGACTGCTTCTTCTCGTTGGGGATGAGGCAACGGATAAAGTGGGGGTGGGTCTTGTGTAACATGTCCATCAGCTTGTTCAGGGACTCACGGTAGATCATGGAGACAGTGTTGAATGAGCCGGATTTACCCTTCTTTTTGCCACCACCACCTGCACCTGAAATTGGAAAAAGAGCAGATGGATATTGTAGTAGGGGCAAGGGTCCGCGGGGGTTGGGGGTGGATTTTGTGGGCGTTTTTTGCTGATTTTTAGTTTGTAAAGAAAGTTTTTGCCATTTTATGTCTTGTAAAGAAAGTTCTTGCCATTTTTTGACTTGTAAAGAAAGTTCTTGCCATTTTTAGTTTTGTAAAGAAAGTTTTTGCCATTTTATGTTTTGTAAAGAACGTTCTTGCCATTTTTTGATTTGTAAAGAAAGTTCTTGCCATTTTTAGTTTTGTAAAGAAAGTTTTTGCAATTTTATGTGTTGTAAAGAAAGTTCTTGCCATTTTTGTTTTGTAAAGAAAGTTTTTGGCATTTTTCATTTTATAACCTATTTCGGTCTGTTTTATAAAATCATCGTATAACATGTCTTCCGCAGCCTGCAAAACGCTTTTTATTCAAAATGAATGATATTTTGCTTTGTAAAGAAAGTTTTTGAAATTTTTAAGCTTATAATCGTCTAAATTATTTTCAAAAATAATTTTGAAAAATATTTTTCAAATTTAAAATTTTTTTATTTTAAAAATTTCAAAAAAATTTCCAAAAAAAATAAAAAATCCACCCACCCCTCAGCGGCCCTTGCAAACACCCCTCCGGCCCTGCAAACGTACCTTTGTTCTTGGAAGCAGCAGCTGCAGCCTCTTCTTGGGTGGTATAGTCACCCCACAACTCGACCAGTAAAGCATTCTCTTTGGAAGCCTTCATTACGGTAACTACCGTATCGTTCAGGGGGTCCTTGTTCTTCTCCAGCCAGTTGGCCACATTGTATCGTACTGTACCGGCGTAATGGCGCATAGCAAAGTGGGCTTCGGCTTGCTTGCCCTTTGGCGGTTTGGGCTTCTCAAAGTTGGGATGCTTGCCCAAATGTTGCTCTAGCAACTTGGCGGCCAAGGTTTGGTCGCTGGCCTTGGGGACGATACACTCTTCGTCCAACATGGCAATGATACCCATGGGCTGGAATGGTATTTGTGTATTGAGGTGATCTTAGGTGCCGACATAAAGAAACCGCCATTTTTTACAAGAAATTACAGGCAAAGTATGGCGGGTTCTTTATGTCGGCACCTTATATTATAGAGTGGAGGTTCTGTACAATGAGCCTACCTTACCCTACCCTACTCTACCCTATTCTACCTACCTTCTCAATCAACTCGATACAAGCGGCCAAATCGAGACCGAAATCGATGAAGGTCCATTGGATTCCTTCACGAGCGTACTCTTCCTGCTCCAATACGAACATGTGGTGATTGAAGAATTGTTGCAACTTTTCGTTCACAAAGTTGATCCACAATTGTTCAAAGGAGTTGAACTGAAATGGTTGATTTTGTAAACAAAGTTCTTGTCATTTTAAAGTTTGTAAGGAAAGTTTTTGCTATTTTTCGTTCTGTAAAGAAAGTTTTTGCCATTTTCAATCTTGTAAAAAAGTTCTTGCCATTTTTCGTTCTGTAAAGAAAGTTTTTGCAGTTTTCTCATATCGTCGTATAACATGTCCCCCGCAGCCTGCAGAACGATTGATTTTTAAAATAACGCCTCTGTAAACAAAGTTCTTGGCATTTTTTGTTTTGTAAAGAAAGTTCTTGTAGTTTTTTATATCATCGTATAACATGTCCCCCGCAGCCTGCAGCACGATTAATTTTCAAAATAACGCCACTAAACAAAGTTCTTGCCAGAAACTTCGACCTACAATATCCTGCAGTATACCCCAAACTCACATCGAAAATCTCGAAACCAGCAATATCCAGCACACCGATGAAGAACTCCTTCTTGATTCCACTGGAAGCCAGGGTTTCGTTACACTTCTTGACCAGCCAGTCGAATACTCTCGAGTACAAGCCCTTGGCCATGGCACCGATACCCCAGTTGACCTGCTCCATGTTCTGACCTTTGTTCACCCACTCCGTACCGACCTTGACTCGAGGTCTCAGCAGGGCCTTCAGGAACTCGTCTACATCAATACCGTACATCTTAGCCGCTCTACCAGCTTCTTCCACACCGTCGGCTTCGGCTTGTTCTTCACGCGGCCGTTGCTTGAACTTCATGTTACCCATGTGCAAGAGGGCGGCCATTAAGCGATAGCACTCCTGGATCTCCTGCTCGCTGAAATTGAGGATTCTGAAGGCGTCGTCGGTGAGTTGATGCTCTTCCTTATCGTCAATGCCATCTACTGTCAGCTCGGCTTGGGCAATGAACCAGTATTCGCTGACGTCTTGCTCAAGCAAGAGCTGTTTGCGGAGGTCAGGCTTGTAGCCGGAGAACATTTGGTAGAAGATGTGGTAACAACGTTCTCCTGGGGCTTGTCGGATGACACGAGACTTTTCCAACAGATCTAGAATTTTAAGTTTTTTTTTAAATAAAAAAGTGCATTTTTTTTTGTTTTGTAAAGAAAGTTCTTGCCATTTTTTGTTTTGTTAAGAAAGTTCTTGCCATTTTTTGTTTTGTAAAGAAAGTTCTTGCCATTTTGTGACTTGTAAAGAAAATTCTTGCCATTTTTTGTTTTGTAAACAAAGTTTTTGCAATTTCTTGCACTGCAAAAAAAGTTCTTGCCGTTTCCTAATATATTATCATAGCCAAACCTATAACTATCAAAAACAGAATATATTATCATAGGCAAGCGTAAAGCTCTTAAAAGCCTAACATATTATCATAGCCAAGCCCATAAACATTATAAACCCAATATATTATCACAGCTACCTCTATAAGTCTTAAAACCAAATATATTATCATAGCCAATCCAAAAACCTTATTTCAGCACCAAGACATTACTCGAAGCTTTCAGTATACTTACAATGTTCAATGTCACAAGACGCTACCCTTCCGATGCGATTGAAGTGAATTCTGATGAACTTTCCGAACCGAGACGAGTTGTTGTTTCTCACCGTCTTGGCATTACCGAAAGCCTCCAATACCGGATTGGTTTGGACGATCTGATCTTCCAGTGTGACCTTCTTGGCACTTGGGTCCTCCTCCTTCTTCTTGCCTCCGGACTCGAGTTCGGCTTGGGAGGCGCCGACGGCCGCGAAATACGAAATTACTTTTTTCGTATTTTCAGTTTTACCAGCACCGGATTCGCCCGTGATCAACATGGACTGGTTCTCACCGTTCTGTAACATGTTACGGTAGGCTTCGTCAGAGACGGCGAACAGATGGGGTGGCATCTCGGTACGCCGCTTACCCATGTACATGCGAGCCACTGAATCGGTGTAGATGGGAAGACGCTTGTACGGGTTGATTACTACACAGAACAGACCGGAGTATGTCTAAAAGATTTTTTTTTAGTTTTAGGTATTGAAATAGTACTAGTACTGAATATTTTGTACTTAATTTTACTAGTACTAAAGATAGTAGTACAGTCATAGTACTAGTACTGAAAATTTAATATTATTTTAGTACTAGTGACGTAAAGGCAGTACTATAAACTAGACAGTACTAATGATAATGGTACTATCATAGTACTAATACTAAAAATGTAATACAAATTTAGTACTAGTATTGTAAATGATTTACTATAAACCAAATAGTACTAAAACGAATAGTACTGTAATAGTACTAGTACTGAAGATGATAATTTTAAAAAAGTACTAAATAGTACTAAAAATTGAGTACTATATATTTTATACTAGTACAGTACCATCCTAATACTAGTTATAGTACTGTAACAAAAGATCCTGTACTGTCACAGCACCAAGCACCCAGTACCCCCCCCCCCCTATCAACTACAAAAAACCTACGTAGATCAACATAGCACGATAACGAGTACGAAGATTGTTCAACACGGAGGCATCATTCAAGAAGGTCAAGTTAGACATGTCTTCGCACTTCTCAAACTTGGGTGGATTCATCTCCTGAATCACCTCGGTCTTGACCGTCTTTTCACCAGCATTCGGTATGGTTACGGTCGTGTCGTCGCCGGCGGTCGACTTGATTTGAACGGCGATATAACCCTCTTCGGCGTCCGGAATCCAGCAATCCTTCTTCGAGTCGTAGGGCTTGGATTGGTCCTAAAAAAAGGGTCCTACTCATGTTATTTCAAAGGTATTTATTGGTCACCTACATAGATCTGAAAGAGGGCTTACTAGCCAGCCCAAAACAAATGTGAAAAGGCCTGGTCGGGCCATGTGGGCTTCAGGGCTGAGTCGAAACTAAGGCCCCAAACCTAGTTTAGGTCCCGCAACGAAAGATTTTACTTAAAAAGTGTAAAATAAATTTGATTTCAAACTTAACAATGAGACCGTGCCGGGTTTGAAAATGTGGGTTTCAGAGTCGGGGCCCAAAGCAAAAGCTAAAAAATTGGGCCTGGTCCTTTTACAGGTCTACTAATGTCATATTTTTGACAAATTCCACATCCTCTAAACCGGTAAAAGACCCAACCACGCCCAGTTTTTTCCTTGGTTTAAGGCCTCGGCTTTCAGGTCCACGTGTGATCGGCCCGGTCCCTTTTAAAGTTACTTTCGTCCAGCCTGGTCGCTTATATAAAGTTATTGCCCCTGAAGCCTCGGTTTTGGGCATACATTTGCTAGCCTCGCCAATTCTGATTTCGCTCCGGCCTAGCACAACAACGTACAAGACCGAGCCTAACGAGCCCCATTTTAGGTGTACCTTCCTGATAAAAATTTGTTTTAGAAAAATTGAAATTCTTTACTCCCCGTCATAATAATAATCATGGTAATGATTATAAAGTAGTTATTACCTCCATGATCTCTTCGCGCGTTCTTCGCAGATATTTCCATCCTGGATCGCTTTCATGGTCCATGGCTAACTAAAAATTCGTCATAATGAGCTTTTGAAGTGTTTGATTCGTAATCAGTTATTGTTGTTAGAAGCCACAAGTGTAAAGTTAAAAATGACCGTAATAGCTTTATGTACAATGCTGTAGAGTTGCCATATCAACCTTTATATAAGGTCGATTGGCATTAAAGTAAAGATTAAAGTGTATTCTTTATTAGCTAATATGAGCTGTTAGGTAAGTTATATTATAGTACAACCAGGGACTTCGCTACAGACTTCTTCTGAAGGGAGTGAAAGCCAAGAAAATCCACCCCCATTCACTTCTTTCCTAGCGATATCCCCGAGTACAATATCCAATATCAAATTAATTAATCATTAACTTGTTAGTATCACATTTAGAAAGAAAGAATTAAAGTCCAATTGTAAGTTCACATATTAGCACTATCATTGTTTAGTGATCACAAGTTAATCGAACTAAAATTACCGAGAAATCCATGATGGCCGACTCCGGTTTTCTCCTGGCCTATGCTATAAATTAGACAAGGGATTCGGTTCTTACCCTTGGTTTCACACAACCTAAACAAGTATTAACAACTGAACATGGGGTAGGGAATGAAACGAACGTTACTTGGAGATGAATTTGTTAGCTAACTTAATATGGGTTCGAACTAAACATTGGGGGGGGGGGGGGGGGTTTAAAACAAGAGAAAAATAAAACAGGTATAGGGTATAAGTATATAGTAGTGAGGATAAGAGATAAAAATATTATAGTATAAGTAATGTGTAGATAGCGTATGCGTACTTAATGATAAACATAGGGTATGGGTATATTGTTGTAGTATAACGTTATGGATATATAAAAGAAGTAGTAGGAAAAATGTTCACCTAATAGTAAGAGTAGGATATGCATATCTAACAGTAAGAGTAGAGTATGATTATCTAATAGCAAGGGTAGGGTATAAGTCCACAATTATCAATTTAGGGCATGGTTACTTGTATATCTACTTTATTTGATTACTTTTGATAGTAGTATAGTACGGGTATCTCACAGTAAGAGCAAGGTATGAGTAAATTATGGTAAGAATAAAGTATAGGTAACTCATAGCATGAGTAGAGTTTGGTATATCATCGTAGAGGTAGGGTATGGGTACATGATTATAATGTTAGAGTACGGGTATCTAACAGAGTATTATATGACTACGTTATAGGGATAGGGTATAGGTACCGATGTATATTTAAACGATAGTAGACGCAGAGTATTGGCAAATCTCAATAGAGAATCAAAAAATATAAAAAAACCGTTTTTTTTTAATTCAAAATTGACAGTGTACTGTAATGTAAAACCAAAAAAAACTACCAAAACCCTTGGTTATTCAAAAGTATTTTCATCAATGAACCCCATCCCCCCCCACCCAAGTATCACCTTTTTCAGAGCAAACAGTACAAATAACCGCGACGTCTAGCATATCAATGTCATTTCTCGCTGCAATCAATCCGAACATTATGTAAATCGCGAAGGCCCCCGGGTCGCGCATTTCGTGGAATCGCACCAAAATAAACAAAAGTCTTCGGGATCGGTGGCTATGAGATTTGTGTTTGAGAGGGGCCTGGCTATGTGCGCGAGAGTAGGCGTGAAACGTCACGGTACGGTAACGATTTGGCTTGTGCTGTCTAGTCTCTATTTTCTTGAGATTGTCTAGTTTCTTTGAAGCTCTCTCATTTCTTAACACGGTCTCGCTTCTTTGAATTTCTCTCGTTTCTTAACACTGTCTAGCCAGTCTAAAGCCTCTATTTTCATTAGACTGTCTATACTGTTTGAGGTCTCTCTTTTCTTAAAACTTTCTAATCTCTTTGAAGCTCTCTCTTTTCTTAAGACTGTCTAGCTTCTTTACAGCCTCTAGTTTTTTTGACACTGACTAGCCTTTCTGAAGCCTCTAGTATCTTAACTGTCTTTTACAGTCTGAAAATTTCTACTCTTTCTGAATCAACCTTTTTCTTCATATAACTCCTTATTTAACCAAGTCTATGAAGATTTTAAAAAACTTTGTATCCCTGCGGTCTCTAGCCTCTAAGTACTATCTCTCCCTAAAATTGTCTAATAATCTAAAGCTCTATAGCTTTAAGGCAGTCTTTCTTAAAAATTTTGTCTCGCGCCCTAGCAATTAAGATCTTTTACAATCTCTAGTTCAAAAGCTATAGTTTTGACAGTAAAAATTGTCTAGCCTAGTCAAAAGTTGCCTATCCGCTCTCTTTTGGCTGTATAATATCTGGCCTTCAGCTGATAAAAACTTCTTCAAAAACGATACTAAGAAAAACTTTTTCAGTTTATGAATTTTGAGACAATTGTTGCAACTTGGACAAACATAACATAAAGCTTGGTCAAAAGAGCAATTTCTGACCCATTTTTGATCTTTTTCGTTTTTTATACAAGTACCTTCTTGAGAATAAAAATTTTTGAGTTTTTTGGGTCTCACAGTGTTCTAACTACTTCATGGCAGCCTTCCACCCAATTGCAAAAAACATTTTCGAAAAAATTTTTAACTTGGTCCCCCCTGTTGATTTTTGAGAAAAATTGCAATAAATCGCTATATGTGTCAGTTTTTATTTATCCCCACCCCCGCCTCATAAAAAAATCTAAAAATCACCGGCCCTAGCATTGCTTTTCCCTAACCCTACCCCAACTTAGCCCTATCCAGCCCTACCTTACCTCTAAACCACAAAAAACACTAAAAACGTGTACAATATATGACTAAAATCAATTTACAAAAATAAAAAAAAAATGATTTTCTTTATCATCCCCAACGAAAAAAAAACAAATCGATACTTTAGGGAATGGGGACGTCTCCATCCTGGCCCTTAAAATCGTGTTAGAGTCGGAAATTAACACACAAATGCGCGAATCTTGACAAGCACACACTCTCGACCTGGATCACGGATAACTGGGCTTGTTGTGCAAACATTGTCAGATCCGACTTGTTCCCAACTCTCTTAACTCCTTCCACAAATTGTGCAAAACGACAAAACATCTACATAGTGATTGTGGCAGGAACATAACAGAATATAAGATTCGAGAAACGAATAAATTATAGTAGGCAACTGTAGATGTAAACGGCCGTTTTCTTCAAATTTTGATCAAGAATCAACTCATTATCAGATAGAAACTTTCAAAACACTATAACATAAGAATAAAATATTTGTTACGCGGCATAATACCACATAGAATTCGTAAAACGAATAAATTATATTATAGTAGGCATCTGTAGATATAAACGGTCGTTTATCTTCGAATTTAAGCCAAAATCAACTCTTTATTGTACCAAAACCTTTAAATACTCCTCTAAAAACTGAAAAAAAACAAAAATCAAAAGCAACTTACCTCAATACTGTGCTATACATCGATCAAAAGTATCAAAGCCGTTGATGAATCCAATATTCATGTTCAGGACCTCCAATATTAAAAAGATCCATTTGTAGCTTCTACTATGTCGTCTTTCTGCAATTTTATATTGTTTTTAATCTGAATTTTTTAGATATTTCTTCAAACTATCAAGAAACATATTGTTGTAGGCACATGTAGGTATAGGCGGTCGTTTCTTCTCAAATTTGGCTTAAAAATCGGCATTTCGTGAGTCAAAAACGTTTGTAATACCATCTAACTTTCTAAAAACCCAAACAACAAAAATCAAAGCCGACTTACTTGAATAATATGATCTAGAGCGAATCGTTCCAAAAATATTGTAGGACACCGACGAATATTGGTATTTTACACCCATTATCCTGCTTTCATCACTAATGTGTAGGTTCAAATCGCTTCCAAAAACCTCTTCAAGCTGTTTCAATCTCCAGAATTCACTGTAATGATCGTCAAATCTATTGAAACATTAAAATTTTTAAAAAAATTAATTTTTCTCTAATTTTTCAAGAAAAATCGACAAAATCCGTCATTCTGACAGTTTTTTTACAAGTTTATAGAAAAAAAGCTTTAAAAGTTTAATCAGTCAGAGATAAAGATTTATTTTATTCTTTTTATTCTTTTTTTTTACTTATTTATTGTGTTTTATATTTTTCCTTCTCATTTCCCCTCACTGTCCTCCAAGCGGAATCGAACCCGCGTGGGTTTTGCTTGCAAAGGAGGTGTTTTACCGGTCAAAAGTGCTAGTTCTACATGTGATTCCAAATTAAGATTAGTCTCATCTAGGCCAGAATTTCATGTAGATTTCGAATGTGCTAAAACATTTTATGATTATAATGCATTTTTATTGAGAAATGAGGCATTTTTCTTATAAACAGTAGATTTTGGGTGAACAAACAGTGAGTTTTGTAATGTTTCGTACCAGTTTGTACCATTATACAATTTTTTTGAATTTGATGTTGTAGTGTAGGTTTTAAAGATTAAAAACCTTGTCTACGTGCGAAATTTAAAAGACGTTGCGTTAATATTTTGTTAACTATAGCCTGTCAAAGCTATAATAATGTAATAGCTATATTATAGTAAATCCTGGTCACTATGACGCAGTTTAAACCAAATTTTATGCAATTATTTACGTTGTATTACCTAAACATTTCCGGTACGACTTGTTTTGCTATAATTTTTTGAAATTAGAGCTTTTTCCAAAAATAACTATAATTAGAAGTGACGTTTGGAATCTCAGAAAAAAAGCCATAAAATGTTGGGACATTTATGTTGGGAAAGACATAAAAGACCGACGGCTTCCGGATGCCATTAAATGTTTTGCAATCAAAGGCTTGTCAAATTTGTCATAATTTTAAATGGTTTTTTGGGTTCTGTATAATAATATTATTATGTTCAGTTGCAGTGTTTGAACTATAACCAACTCCTGTATAACGAACAGATTTCAAACCTCTGAGCGATTCGGTATACATGTCTTCTACTGTATATAAAGGAATTAGTTTTTAAAGAAAGTCCTTGCGGTTTTTTAAAAATATGAGTTTGTAAAGAAAGTTCTTGCACTTTTTCAAAAAAATCAATCTTGTAAGGATAGTTCTTGCGGTATTTGAAAAAATGAGTTTTGTATAGAAAGTTCTTGCGTTTTTTTGAAAAAATGAGTTTTGTAAAGAAAGTTCTTGCGTTTTTGTAAAAATAAGTTTTGTAAAGAAAGTTCTTGCGGTTTTTTGAAAAATCAGTTTTGTAAAGAAAGTTCTTGCGGTTGTTAAAAAAATAAGTTTTGTAAAGAAAGTTTCACCTTATCAATAAAAATCCATACATTAAACTGTATGTTAACGTTCAGACAATAGACATAATCATCACTTAATATTTTTTGTTTTTGTACGATTATTTGACTGATAACACGTCATTGTTATTTTAATCATACGAATTGTACAATCCGGGAAGAAACTCTTAACAAAAACATAAATCTTCTTATTGATAACACAAGGATGGTATCAGACTAAAAATAGGAACAGCTTGGAAGAGTTGGGCTTATTAGCCTTGGGCTCAGTAGGTTTCAGCTTAGTAGGCTAAGATTTAATAGTCTT